CACGAATTTTGTGCTCTGGGTCAGTAGTAGTCAAATAAAATACATTATTAAAAAGCATAGTTAATTTCACCTGTTTTTAACTCTGCAAAATTGGCTATTAGAGCTTTTCAAATTACATATGTGGCTTGCATTTGAGGCGACCGCTGCTCCAAAGATTTCCTTAATCCAGTGGTCGCCAACTTTTCAGACCTCTTGGACCACTTGGCGACTGCTCATCTAAACTGCTGTCCAGTACAGTAGCCACTAGCCACATGTGGTTAATTGTAAGATTTAAAAATCAGCTTCTCAGCTTCATTAGCCACATTTTTTTTAAATATATATTTTATTGATTTTTTTTACAGAAAGGAAGAGAGAGGGATAGAGAGCTAGAAACATCGATGAGAGAATCATTGATTAGCTGCCTCTTGCATACCCCCTACTGGGGATGTGCCCGCAACCAAGGTACATGCCCTTGACTGGAATTGAACCCTGGAGTCCGAAGGCTGACGCTCTATCCACTAAGCCAAACCGGTTAGGGCCATTAGCCACATTTCAAGTCCTCAATACCACATGTGGCTAATTATAAAAAAAATTAACTCAGTTTCTCAAGCTACATTTTAAATACTTAGTAACTACAAATAGGACAGCACAGATATAAAACACTTCCAACATTACTGATAGTGTTTTACTGACAGTGTGGATGTAGAACTGTTTTTGCAGAATCCACTGTTAACACAGAGAACTGGAGATTTTGGTGAGGCCAGCAAACCTGAATATATTTCTTTGCTTTGCAGAGTATGTTGCAGATCAATCACAAGGAAATCCCAGTATCTTTGCTTTATTCTCCCTTTTTGTGTACTGCACTACTAGTTGGAATATATGTACTGACAGGTTAACCTCTCTAGATTGTTGTATCCTACCCCCAAAAAGCAGGGGGAAATTTTGCTTCACCTAGGTCAGGATTATTTTCAGTGTAAGGATAAAATATGTGGGGGAAATACTTTGTAATTATAGTCACAGGTAATCAAAATTAATTTTTTTTTTATTGATGTTTAGAGGAAGGGAGAGGGAGAAAGGAGAAACATTGATGCCAGAACGGAACATTAATTGGTTGCCACCTGGGGACCCAGCCCATTCCCCGTGCATGCGTCCTGACTGGGAATTGAACAAGCAATCTTTTGGTGCACAGGACAGTGCCCAACCAATCAAGCCACAGCAGCCAGGGCAGTCAGAACTTACATGTCAACATCCATATAGGATACAATAAAATTTAAGTAGGGTTGAATGTGTTATTAAAATTATTTATGGGGATCTAAGTAATAATAAAAATGTCTATAAATCTTTTTGTAAAAAATTCTAGAGGACAAATTTCATTACAGAATGTTGTCAGTGCCAATCATTAATATCCTAATTTTTCTGCTCAAAATATTATGACATGTTTTCTTTTGACCTATCACAACTATCTTATTCATTTTAGCCAAAGTTTAATCCTAGCAGAATATTAACACAATGGAAAGAGAACTCTTAAAATAGTTTGTAAGTGAATTTAAACAAACACACTCTGAAGTCAAATGGAATCACCTCGAACGGTCCTTGGGGATGCTCTGGCTCATCCTTTTCCCGATGCAGGCTTCTCCCTGTGCGGCTTACTCTGATCCTGCTGCCCTGGATGTGCTAGCCTTTACACTGGAAAGTGTAGCTCTGCTTTTTAGAAAGGAGGAGCATGTTTATCAATGTCTCAAATGCTAGTTAGCTAATTTTTCCCCATCCTCTGCTGAGGCCACGTTACTTCACTGAATACTTCTACAATCTAAATTTGAATTCACTTCAATTTTGTAATTTGAGCACAACTGCGAAGATGATAATGGTTGTAAATAATATTTCACACAAAGATACTTAAGTGTTAGAAACGTTTATTTGTCAAAATATTAAAAAAAAAAAAAAAAAAGTGGAGCAAAACAAGGCTCAATTTCAGCAAATGCTGTACCACGATCACATGTCAGACATAAAAAAAAACAAAACATCCCACCCCCACCCCAGTGGTCCTAGCAATTGCAGAAGGTTAGCTTCAATGTTAAGTCCAAAGCTAACAGAAGAGGAAAAGGTTGCTTGCCACTAAATGGTCATTTTAAAGGTTAAGGAGATGTTTTTCAGGTAGACAGGAAGGAGGATTCAACTCCTACGGAAAGCAAGGTAAGAGGGTTCCACTGTACAGGAAAAGGGGTACCAGCATAATCCTTACCTAAGGCTGCTCAGAGGCTGGGAATATAAGGAATAGAATGAAAGGCTATAGACCCTTATATTAGGAAAAAAGAAAAGTCAACTTAGAAGAATTAAATTAAGAAAGAAAACATAGTTGGTCACAAACTCCTTTGTTTACTGAAACATGAAGCAATGGAAACATCCCGGCAAAGGGGACCGCGCGAAGCAAGTTCTCTTATATGACCGCAGCCCGAGGGTTCATCCACAATTATCCTACCTGAAAGAGAGCACAACACAAGAGGCTTACACACTGCCTGGAGAGCAGCTTGGCTCCGAGTACAAGGGCCCTGGTCCTGTCCTGCATTCCAGGGGGAAAAGAACAAAAAACAAAACAAAACCGAGTCAGACTGGATCAAACTTATCCCATGTAATTACCCAGGATCATGATCATGACTATATATAGGAATCTACTTATAGCTATAATAGAACTAGAAGCAATCTATCTGGAAGACTGCTGTGTTGATAAACACATATTTCTCATTTTCTTATCTATTTTTTTAGGCAAGACAACTTCTGTGAAACAAAGCTATTCTCACTATACCAAAGGGCATACAGACTACCAAGAAATGTTAATTTAATTTTTGGGTCCAGGAAAAGCAGAAGATGCTAAGATCTCAAATATGGCCAACTGCTCTATTCTAAATTTGTTTCATCTTAATCTTTCACAGTAAATAAGTATCAAGGAGTGTTTATTTACCCTCTAACATACCTACAGGTCAGTCTTAGATTTAGAACCATAATTCTAGTAGTTCCCCTAATTGACCACATCTCCCTTATCAAATCAAAAGAAGAAATCCTAAAATTCTCTAATTCTTCCACTGATGATGGAAGCTCCAGACACCAATGGCTGGGGGGGGAAAAAAGTTAACTCACACCAAGCTCCTCTACTTATTACAGACAAAGGGCCAAATCTTGGTCTTGATCTGTGCCAATGGACTTCAAAAGCTGTGACGTTCTTGAATCAGTTCTGCTAGAGTGAAACCCGAAATTGGATCCCCAACAGTTCTGGAGTATTTCATCCTGGCAGCCTCATTTACCATCAGGCTCCTGGGACTGCAACCAACTCAGGGTTATTCAGTCCATTTGAGGTTCACACCTGGAAGGTAAGTTTCTTTAAAAGTCATGGTTAAAAAGAGGTTAGTTGAACAACCACTGTTTGCACTCAAAATTCACTTTAAAATACTATATACTAACAATATTTAACTTTGAAACATTCAAGAGAAGTTATCTGATGGATAATATCACCTTATTTTAGAGGCATATCCCATTTCATGGCAGATTCAGCTGTATTAAAAGTAAAAGTAATGGCAAACTACACAAGTTGTAAGGTTATCAACTTCATGTATATGAACACACGGCTGGATAGTGGTCTCAGGAGATCCGTCTTGTCCTGGTCTCATGGTCATAAGTTCCTGCCAAATTTGCTCCTCACTATGAAAAAGGGCAGTTCCTACTGCTTTGTTTTTTCTAAGTATCTACCAAAGGGATAAGTTAGGTACCCTGAAAACTCATGGTAACTAAGTTTAACTTTGCTATTAGGCCTCCCATTCAAGTGATTCTCAATTTCAAGGTACAAGGAAAACCAGGAGAATAAAAAGTTGTCATGATACCATTTCTACTTGAAGAGATGTGTCAATCTTATTCCTCTTGCCCTAACATCTTTGCATACATTTTCTGAAGTAGGAAACATTAAATTCCCAGGGTCACCAGTGGGATTTTATACACATCCAAAATTACCCGGTTATTAGTTCCTTAAATATTCTCAAACCAAACCAAACTTGCTGGGGAAAAGGGGACGCATCAGGCTGTATATGAAAGTATCACTGACTATGCAGATACGGCTTACGATCCTATGGACAATGAGATGTTCCAGATCAGGGGTCGCCAACAGGTGGTCCATGAGGTCCGAAAGTTTGGCGACCACTGGTTTAAGGAAACATTTGGAGCAGAGGTCGCCAACTGGTGGTCCACAAAGGTTGGTGACCGCTGCTCTAGATTACTAATAAGAGACTTCACAGGACAGTGGCATCAAAACATTCCGATTTCAAGCAAGTGTCTTATAACTAAACACCGAAAATTTATAAACTGTATTTGGCTTATAGCTATATATTAGAAAAGGTTCCTCTGATAAAGCTTAATGACAAGTAGATTTTTATTAGCCAATTGGAAGTCTAAAGATATAGTTAAAATTCTCACTGTGACATGCATTATTAACTCCTGAACCTGTACTCTGTACTCTTAAGTTTACACCAGTGACTTTAGTGGAAAGATAATGGGTTTAGGAGTCAGCCAGGCCTGAGTTTGAATTCTGGCTCTACTCAATTATCAGATGACTCCAGGCAAAGTACTTAACTTGAGGCTTAGTTCCCTTCTCTCAACTACAGAACATACCTTAAAGGCTTCTTGTGTAGGTTAAATTATATGATATATACAGAGGGCACTTAATAAATGTTAGCTCTCTTAACTATTTCTGTATCCCAGATTAGTTTACACTTAATTTAACAGTATTCTCACTAACTCAGTTTCTTCTCTCAGAAGGAACGAGATTGTTGGGAAGTCAAAACACTAAAACCTCAACAGGCCACATAAACCTCTGGCTTAAGTTAAAGAAACATTTAAGCAAGTAATTTATACCTTTAGGATACTAATGTCCTGACAGCAAACAGGTGGCTATACCTTCCCCTCTAAAGCATGGGTCTCTTTCAAGGGAACTAAATGGAATCTTTTAACCACACCCGCCCCACTCTCACCTCCAGTTTTTAAAAGGCTGAGTACCGCGCTCGGTCCATATACTGCTCCCGCTCATACCGGGCCATGTCATACAGGGAATTCCGTGCAGCTGCCGAAGCCTGAGACAGCTCACTGTCTGGCCCGTAACCGTAGCCCTCTCCCACTGCGGGGAGCACAGCTGCAGCACGACGAATGGGGCTCCTGTCCCTCCCGTAATAGGAAGAAGGGGCCGCGGCAGCAGCCATAGCAGCTGAGGTGGCAGCAGCACCGGAGTTCGGCAGCAGGTGTCTGTCGTAGGGATCAACAGAAGTGGAGTTGAGGTGACTGGTCACAGCCGTGTTCTGGACTTGAGGCAGATGGGACATGGTCTGGTCTGCGTAGTTGTACGCAGAAGCTGCTGCTGCCGCCGCCACTGCCTCGTAAGAGCGGACCCGGTAACGCTTGTAGTAGTCCAGTGCTCCATATGCATCGTTGTAATACATGGACTCCCCATAGCCCATGGTGTAAGGCGTGCGCACAGCTCCGTACTGTTCGTTATACTGCTCAGTCAAGTCTGCCACGCGGCCCGTACGATCTATCGGACACTCTTTGGACCAGTGCCCCTCCTTCCCACACCGATAGCAGCCGCTCTGGTCTCCCATCCCCGGCGCAGTCCGAAGGCGGCTGGTGGACAACTGCACATGCATTCTTTTGCCTTGAGAAAATAGATACAAGATTTATTATAACTCACTGAGAAGTCTTTATCCTCCCCAAAAATGAAAGTAAACTAGTTGGCACTAAACACACATACATACACACACTCCTGAGATTCTGTTTCAGCAACCCCTCCAAAAGCAGTTAAAGTTTAAATATAGATAAGAGCTAGAAAATTTGGGTCCCCGGAGACCAGAAACACTTTCTACTTACACTAGGTAGACTGAATTCCATCTTACTTCTGTCTCCATTACTCTCCCCATACCCCCCAATACAGAAATGGAAAGTTTCCACTTTTCACTGCTAAGACTGGGATTTTATTCATTTTAAATGGGACTATGAGATTGTAGCAATTCAAAACCTACTAATTCTTCCAAATCAAATATCCAACACAACCTCAGTGATGCCAGATTTGGAAAGGATCTTACCAACTTCTCCCTGATTCACTCAGGGTCACATTAGGTCTGAACAATTACTGCGGCTTAAAGACCACAGCCAACTTCTGTCCATCTTGTTTCCTCCAGCCATTACTGCAGGTGTCTCAGAAGGCTATGTTGGTTATACAAATCATACCTGGTTCATCGTATACTTTATAAGTTATAAAACTTCAGATTTCAACCCCACCCCACTTTTTCAGCATGCCTACTGTGGAAAAGAATACTATTTGACCAAGGTCTCTCAATAGCAAAATGAGATCTTGTAGTAGTACTGGTTTCTTAGGGATGTTGTGCTCCCATGTAATGCATAATTAACATTTCATCCTACCATGGCGTTTACAGTTCTTTAGAGAGGATGATCTACTTGTCAGAAAAATGCAGCATTTGTCTAAAGTCCTCTGGGCACCCATACAAACAAACCACATTCAGGGAATGACCAGCACTAAGGAGCAGCTAAGAGAGGAAACAGTTTTGCCCTGGTTTGTGTACCCTCAAGCCCCCAGGCACCCTTACTGGTGAAAGCACCCAAGGTCTTTAAAGCAGTTTGAGAAAACGGGTATTTGGGCAGTATTTAGTCTCAAACTGCCTAAGACTTTGGAGATCAAGTCAATGCTTTTCAAATGATAGCCCAAACACAGCCAGTGCAGACATCACTCTTAAGGGCTGGTCAGAACAAACGTCCCCCCTCCACGTCAGCAAGTTGCTCTCTCTTTGACAGACCTTGTTCTGGATGCAGTTATGCGATAGGAGGCCGCGTGCTCCACCATCCTGTTGGAAACAGCCGATTCAGGACGGCAGCCAGAACAGCGCCATGCACTGACCCTGAGGGGGAGCGGGTTAGTGCAGTAACATCACTTCAGTCACACTCGTTTCTGCCCAATGTCCAAGTCCTACCACCCAGTTTCCAGCAGTTGCTGCCTCCAACTTAAACCCCTTCTTTAGCAGAAATAAAGGCGCTCAGATTTTTACTTCCAAGTGCTAGCTGAGGCAGTATCCACCATCTCGTATCCACCATCTCCATTGATCCAGTCAACAGAAATCAAATAGCAATAATTCTCTGAAAGCAGCATTTAGCCATCCCACTGTTTTCAGAGATTTGAATATTCTTAGAAGTTAAGGGCCACATACTATGCAAAGAACAAAAACACATAGACTTTTTGCTCCAATTCATATAGAAAGTGTAGGGTTCACTATAATTGAGACTGGAGGGTTACAAATTGTCTTTCAACCATGCAAGGTGACATTAATCTGTGTGACAGATACGAACTGTGCTCCAATTGTGAAGTCACAGTAACCATGCCAATCTAAAAAATCAGTCAATCCAGGAAACTTAGAAATACATTTTTAAGGAAAAAACTGCAATTTAACTTGTTCTTTTATAGATTTTGGGTGCTTCTCTCTCTCTCTCTCTCTTTGAGAAACAAAAAACAATTTTTCCTTGATGTTTCTGTTAATTCATCCAGTCTTTACCCCTGCTTTAGGGAACTTCTAAAGATCCAAAGATTGGAACCTCTTAAGTTTATAGACATCTGGCAAAAGCTACTTCTAGTAGTAACTGAAAAGGATGTAGGTTATTTTTATTAATTTACATTTTTACCTAGAACTAAAAGATATATAATAGGATAGTTTTTCCCCCTAGCATAATCTTCCCAAAGATTGTAACTATGCTTTTAATTTAAACCCCCTAAAGTTTTTATAATAATTGAAAAAATATTGTGCTTCTCTATTATCTTAAGGAACCAGAGCAAATAAAACTGAAAGAAAAGTAAATTTTACCAACACCCAACACTTGGAAAACATAAAGATTTCCTGATACCTTTAAAAGTTACTGAAATGCGCCCTGGCTGTTTTTTGTTTTGTTTTGTTTCTAATATATTTTATTGATTTTGTACAGATAGGAAGGGAGAGAGATAGAGAGTTAGAAACATCGATGAGAGAGAGTCATCGATCAGCTGCCTCTTGCACACCCCCTACTGGGGTTATGCCCGCAACCACAGTACATGCCCTTGACCGGAATCGAACCCGAGACCCTTCAGTCCCCAAGCCGATGCTCTATCCATTGAGCCAAACCGGTTTCGGCACGCCCTGGCTTTTTTGCTCAGTGGATAGAGCACCTGCAGACTGAAGGGTCCCAGGTTTGATTCTAGTCAAGGGCACATGCCCAGGTTGCAGGCTTGATCCCTGGTGGGGAGTGTGCCAGAGGCAGCCATTGATGTTTCTCTCATCATTGATGTTTCTATCTCTCCCTCTCTGAAAAAAAAAAAATTAAAAAAAAAAAAAAAATATATATATATATATATATATATATATATATATATATATATATATATATTTAAAAGTTACTGAAATGCACTGCCAACATTTTCCAGAGAACTAGCCCAATAAAAGTGTGTGTTTTTTTTCTTTCTTAATTCTGGAACAGAAAGGAGTATTAAAAGCTGAGATGGGCAACCTGTGATCCTAATTGCTGAACTCCTATCATTGCCAGGATCCAGAGGCTGGGGATGTAGCTGACACACAATAGCACTTAAGTGTAATGCTTGTTTACATATTGGGGGGAAACCCAAGACACCTGACTCTTACATAGTCCCAGTGTGGCTGCCTGAGCGGATACTTGGAAAGGCTTTTTTAAGGTTTTCCAATGCAAGCTGTTTGCTAACTCACTAGGGGTGCATTCACTGCTGCTGTGGAGAGGAACAGATCCTGAAAGACATACACTCAGATTCTGCTGCTTCCTTTTAGAAGTCAAACAAGTCAGAAGCCTAAATGGCAGCCATTAACATATAAAGGTTCAATTGATGCCTAAAGTGGTATTCTTAAGATGCTACCTTCATTAAACACCTGCAAAGGATTTATCAAAAAATGTGATAAATTGGTATCTAGATGGTATTTTCTGTAAAACTGCAACTTACTATCCAACTAGAGGCCTGATGCACAAAATTTGTGCAATGGGCTTGGCCCTCACAGCCCTGGCTTCCTCTGGAAGGTTGTCCGGAAGGAAGTCTGTCTAATTAGCATATTATGCTTTTATTATTATAGATGCTAAACTTTCTCTTGTCATGGGGGGGGGGGGGATAAAGGTGGTTATAAAAATGCCTCTGTATGTAACTCAGAGTACTTCCTCCAGAGGGGTCAGGCTAAGAACATGAAAACCAAATAAAGGATCTTTGTAAAAACATTGTAAAAAATCTTATGAATCGTGTGTAGTCAGATATCTACTACTTAAAATAATTAAACCTGCTTTATTAAAACACTGGCTGTGACCAGAGCTTTTGCTACACTCTCTGTAATCTCTATTTTGCAAACTTTCTTACCCTTTTCTGGTCAACTTTTCCTCTTCCACTTCTTTTCTGTTTTCTAGGGTTAGCAGAGGGCCCTTAAGTACTTCTTAACAACTCTTACTGGCACTCAGACAAAAAATTGTTAATCTATGACCCTGAGAAGTGGCTGTAAATGTGGTTCAAGATGACACTATCAACAAAAACCTTGTAGAACAGTGCTGTCCAATGGAACTTTCTATGATGATGGAAGTGTTTCATATCTGCACTAATACAGTAGCCACTCACCTCGTGTGCCTTCTGGGTGCAGTACAATTGAGAAACTGAATTTTAAATTTCATTTAATAGCTATCTGTGGACAGTCCATTTCTAGAGCCATCAAATGACCTATGTATTAATGACAAGCTATGTACCTTTATGATTGGTATAAATAATATATCACTTACTAGAATATCTTATGGGATCTCCTCAGAAGCAGGATCATCATTCCCATTCAATCTAATAATTTTAGAATTTTTTACCTTTAGGATTAAATAATAGATGGGGCAGAATACAGATATTCCCCGACTTACAGTGGTCTGATTTTATGATGGTGTGAAAGCATATTTATTCATTAGAAACCATATTTTGAATTCTGATCTTTTCCCAGGCTATCGATATGCGGAATGCTACTCTAATGACGCTGGGCAGTGGTGCCCAGCCACAGCTGCTTCAGCCAGCAGATAACAAGGGCAAACAAATGATGCTCTATGGTATAGTATTAAATGTATTTTCAACTGAGCGATACTTTCAACTTGCGATGGGTTTATTGGGACATAAGCTGAGGAGAATCACGCAGTTCGTGCTTTCTGGCTCTGCTGGAGCTGAACAAATATTCCCCCCAAATCCAGATTCACCCCCCAAATTGCCCACCACAACCCATTACGCATAGTAGTAAAGAGTATCAATTCGCCGAAACCGGTTTGGCTCAGTGGATAGAGCGTCAGCCTGCGGACTGAAGGGTCCCGGGTTCAATTCCGGTCAAGGGCATGTACTTTGCTTGTGGGCACATCTCTCATCGATGTTTCTAACTCTATCTCTCTCCCTTCCTCTCTGTAAAAAATCAATTAAAATATATACTTAAAAAAAAAAAAATCAATTCTACACATTTGACCTCTCAAACAAGGCTTCCTGGCCATGACAAAAGCGGCAGTTAAGCCACAGACTTAAACTCCCAACAGCATTGAAATGAGTGAAGCCCGAAGGGTAAAGTAACCCGGAGTTTGTGATTCTATGTGGTTGTCGACAATCTGAAAAGGATTTGGCAAATCTCAAGAATGGTAAACATACAATCTTCCTATTATTCCCAGCTAAAATAGAATGTTAGGGACCACCCTGCCAGCCCCAGGGTCCTGTGTTCTTGCCTGTCTTGCCCTGGACCCCACTCAGTTCTGCCACCAAGACCCCAGGGCAGTTCACCTTGAAACTCTGTGTTGTCAAGGCCCCTGATGGCCTCGACCGCGTCCTCGGCCCGCTCCATGTGGACGAAGGCGTAATCTTTCACGATGTCACATTCGATGACCGGGCCGTACTCCTCGAACTTGGCCCGGAGCTCTTGGTTGGTACAAGTGGGGCTGATGTTGCCCACGTGCAGCTTGGTGGAGGTCTTGCTCTTGTTCTTGCTGGCCTCCACGTTGATGTTCACCCCGTGCAGCTTGTAGTGGTGCAGGTTGCGGATGGCATCTTCGGCCGCCGTCTTGTCCTCTATGTGCACGAAGCCGTAGTTCTTAATGATGTCGCACTCCAGCACCTTCCCGTACTGCTCGAAGAGCGAGCGGATCTCCTGCTCGGTGGCCTCCCGGGGCAGGTTTCCGATGAACAGCTTCACCATCCTGAGAGAGCCTGAGAGAGAAGAAACAGAATCCCCTCGTTAGGGGTGCCGCGGCAGTCTCGGCGCGTTGCCCCGGTTCAGCGCTTGGTACCCAGCACAGCGTTTTTCCAGCGGGAGAAGGGGGAGCGGTGAGAGGGGGCACGCCGGCAGGAGGTCGGGTCAGTAAGCATCGCGTCCCCATCGCCTCTGTGAAGTGAGCACTGAAGGGACAGCGTTAGCCGTTCGTCCCGCGTCTTCACACTCTTCTGGGCAGGAAAGAAGCGCTCAAGCCGGGGCAAGGGGCACGTTTCTGAGTGTCCCCGGTCGCGAGGTTTTGGAGGGAAATCTGTGCACCTCTCCTCCCTCAGGCTCCACCTTTCAAGATTCTCTCAAAATAAAGGCCCCTTGGGTCCCCATCCAGGACACCCCCTACTCCCTCCCCGCGACCCCCCATGGCCCAACCTGCGGCTCCGAGGTCCCAACAAAGGCTCGCCCCGACCCCTGCCCCGCCTCCTCCCGTTGTCTCCCCGGACCTCCCCCCAAGAAGCCCCAGCCCGGCCGCCTCCGGCCGCCGAGGCCCGGCCCGCGCCGCCCCAGCCCGCCTCGGGCTCCCCACGCACCCCAAGACGCCCCTCTTACCTCCGGGGGGCGGCGGCGGCGGCGGCGGCTCCCGCGTCAGAGAGAACCCCACAAAATGGCGAAGGCCGCTCGAGCCTCCGCGCGACCCGGCCCTTCCCCGCGCGCCAGCTCACGCACGCGCGAGTGCGCGCTCCCGTCCCCTCCCCCTCGCGGGAGCCGGGCGACCAATCCCGCGGCCGCATGTAAATCACTGCCCCTGGCTCAGCTCCCGGCGACCCCGGCACGGGGCGGGGCCAGCTGGTGACGGCGCGGCGGAGACAGGTCAGCCCGCCCCCGGCCCCAGCCCGCCAATCACCGCTCCGGAAGCGGGGGTCGGGCTCGGCGTCAGAAAGGCGCGGGCGCACACACCGCCCGTGAGATCAGAAATCCGGGGTCACTGCCGTCACAATGGGGGCGCTGCCAGCGCCTGCCGAGCGGGGGCCGGCAGCTGATGACAAAGGGTTGCCTCGCTGGGTCCCCTAAAAAGGGTTGCCAGCTTGGTACAACATTTTAGAAATACACATTCTGAGAAAACCTAGCCATTTTTTCGAAAAGCTTTACACATAATTAAGAACTTTTCATTACAAGCATGTGGTTCATTGATGAAGTAGAACCAAAGACAGCAGAGCTGGGAGAGTCTAGGAGGCATTCTATGGAGGCTCCCCTGGGTCTTGTTCCGCTTGCTAATGTATACCAGCGGACGTGGCTGGTTCTCTGTGTGTCCCTCACAGGCCGCCTCTGTGGTGAGGGCACCAAAGGAATGCTTGGTGCAAAGGCCAGAGAGGCTCCTTGATTTGGGTGGGGATAGGGTCTCCACATCCACACTCAGCTGCTGGACTAGGCAACCGTGAGTCCCTCTGTGGACTAGACAGCTGTGGTCTCAGGGCACCTCCTGGTGGCCAGAGGGAAGCTGTCAGGTAGGTTACTGTCACCCTTGAACAAAGAATAGTTTGTAGAGAGAGGGACTGTTTCTCTCTGAGTAGAGCCTGTCAGGGTGATTGTCAACCACCGTTCCTCACTGTGATGGCTTCACAGAAGCTCTTCTGAGACCACAGGCACACATTCCTGAGGCTGCCTTCTTCCCCGCCAACTATTCTGATATGTTTCTTTCACTGGCATCGTTTTGCTTCCCAACTATCTCAGAAGAGGCACTGTTCTTGCAATTCTAATAACAGTCATGCTTGTCTCCCATGTACTAGTATCTACCTCCTTCCATCCCTTATTCTCTCGGCCATTTCCAGTTTCTCTCCACCCTCAAACTTTTAAAACATGTATAGGGACCTCCTTAGCCACTTCTGAAATAGCTTTCACTCATCTTCACTATACTGGCTTCACAAATGGAGGGTCTGAACCTGCTTTATGCCCTGTGTTTTGGGTTCTGTTCTCTCCAATTCCCAGAATTTTCTGAGATCATCAAAACTAATGTCCTTGGCTTAGTATTAACCCTTTTAAAATGTTCATTTCATTCATCACCCTTCTGTTTTTATACAGTTTCTTTGCATAGCTCTGACAGTACTATTCCATTTCTTTCCCCTGTTTCCTTACTCTTATTTTTAAAACAAAGAAAATGACAGCTTTAATGAAATGAAACCCTGTTTTTATGCACATTTCACAGATGTGGGAAGTGGGGTTCAGAGAGGCAGGCCACTGGCCAGGTCCGAGATCTCACCCCGGCCTGTGTGACTGCACAGTCCCCTGAAGCACAAGGCCACCAAGCCTCTGAAGGCCCCAGTTCACCCTGAACCTAGTAGTTGACTACCCATCATGGAGGAAACACCACCTCAGCTCAGGTTTTGAGGATAAAAGACCAAAGAGAAATGATGTTCTTATAATCCTCTAAATCCAAGGGGTCAGGCCTCCTGGGGGCTCCCAGCAGGGCCAGCTCCCCAGGTCAGAGCGGGCATATAGCTGAAGGACCAGGACAGGCAGGGGTTCCAGTGGCCACTGACCTTGGCAAGCTGGGTCATGGTGTTGGCCTCCACCGCTCAGATCTTCCTTGCTCCAGCTTGGGCAGCAAAAAAATGACAGGATTCCAGAGCCACAGCCAGCATCCAGAACAATCTTGTTCTAGAAGTCCGAGAGGTTCTGCAGTATCGCACGCTGGTAGGTGCCTGCCGCACGCAGTCCTGCATTATGTTCTGCTGCTGGGACAGGTAGCCATAGAACCGGAAATACTGCACAGCGAGGCCTCTTCTGTCTGCTTGCTGAACACCGACCGTCCGACCGTCTGGGGCACGGCCCCGGCAGGACCTCAGGATGTTGTAGAAGGAACAGAAGTCACCGGTGTACTAACTGGGTGAGGATGCTGCTGCAGCCCAGGGTGATGAGGAAAGTCTGCTTGCCCACGCGGCTGCACTCGGTTCCACGGGACACTGAGCACTCGAGTACACGAATATCTTCACGGCTGAAGAGGGCAATGCCTCCGACTCCGGGCCGGGCACACCTCGAGGCTCAGGCCTGCTGTTCCGCGTGCCAATGGCGAGGGGCGGCTCCGGGAAAGGGACCCACCCATTTCCTTACTCTACTCCCTTCCTCTCCTCTCCCTGCCCTCACGGGCAATCATTCTAATGAGTCAGTTTAATGCGCCAGGGCCTGCCATCATTTTGTTTGTGTTCTTGCAAGACATGTCTTCTTAGGGCACATTTGCTTTTTCCCCCCATTAAAATGTTTTATGTGGACAATTTCAAAAGGCACAAATGGAGACTATTATAATGAACACCTATGGACCTTTTACCCAGATTTGACCATTACATTTTGCCGACACTTCATTTAGCCCCTTTACTCCTTTGGAGGAGGGCTGGAGTTTTTAAGAGCAAATCCCAGACATCATGTAATTTTTCCTATGAAGGCCTCACTACCTGCCTCCAATTAAAACGTCCCGCGTATGCTATGCTAATATTATCTGAAACTTATATTCAATTTCCCCTACATGGTTGCAAATATCTTTTTGCCATTGGTTTCTTATACTTTATGTAAATTGTGTTGTAGAGCTCATCGCTTCTAACGTTTTTCACTAAGTGCTATGTTACAGTGTCATAGCAACACTCCGCAGTATGCAACCACCTTATTCTCCCGATTCATCTCTGGATGTAGGGCATCAGGTTCCCCCCGCTCCCCACCACTGTACACAGAGTTGAAATTAGCACCCTTATGTTGATTAGGAATGCCTTCCTGGGTCCATGTGAGACTTTGGGAGGGTGTAAACTCAGGGTGAAATCGCTAGGTTGTTCTCTAGAAACCAGTCCACCCTTCCTTCCACCTGCAGCCGGGACAATGACTGTCTGTGCAGAGAGATGGAGGAGAGCTTTCATCACTCCCTCTTCGGGCTTAACAATGTTTCTCACTTTTAGGTCTGTAGTCCATTTTGAGCAGTGCTGTCCCAATAGAAATATGTGAGATATATATATATATATATATATATATATATATATATATATATATTTAAAATTGCCTAGTAAACACATTTAAAAAGTAAAATGAACTTTAATTCTTTTGAAACCCAATATAGCTAAAAGATCATTTCAACATATAATCAATATAAAAATTCATTTTTTTGTCTGTTTTTGTTAATCCTCACCCAAGGGTATTTTTTCCCCATTGATTTTTAGGGAGAGTAGAAGAGAGAGGGAGAGACAGAGAGAAACATCGATGTGAGAGAAACACATTGATTAGTTGCCCCCTGCACAAGCCCCAACCACGGCCAGGGCCAGGGAGGAGCCTGCAACCATGTCCTTGACCAGAATCGAACCCCGGATCCTTTGGTCTGCTCTATTCACTGAGCCATACCGGCTGAGGCAATATAAAAATTGTTAATGAGATACCTTAACTTCTTTTTTTTTTCTCTTCAGTCTCTGAAATCCAGTGAGCATTTTGCATTTAGAACACATCTCAATTCAGCTAGCCATATTTCATGTGCTCAGTAGCCACATGTGGCTTGCAGCTGCTGTATTGGACACCAATGCAGCATTCACCCCTGGAGATGGTATTAGGTAAGAATGTAAACATGTTTTTCTTTAAATAATTCCTCCATTTTTATCTGCCCATATTTCCCCATTGACGTGTGGTGCCCACTCTATTGTCTTTTTGTGCTCTAACCTGTCTCACACCCCTCTCTGCTCCATACCATTCTGTCTTCTTTCCTGGAACTTTTCTTCCACCCAGATCTAAAAGTGTCTCCCAACACGTACTTCCTGACCTTGGGCTTATTATCTGCTCTGTCCTGTCCTCAAGGCTTCACGCACTCGGGTAGCTTTAGCTGCCATGTGTATGTACGTGACGCTCAAGTCCCACTTTCATTCCTTTTCCATTCACAATGACTGATTGCACCGTTCTGTAGGACCTTCACTTATCTTTTACACATTAAAACGATAATTGCTCCATTTTCTCACCCCCATGTACATTTTCTCCTAAAATTTCAATTATTGCTTTCCTCTCAACCCTGAGGCCTGCCTGCTTTTATTTATTTATTTTTAATATATTTTATTGAATTTTTTACAGAGAGGAAGAGAGAGGGATAGAGAGTCAGAAACATCGATGAGAGAGAGACATCGATCAGCTGCCTCTTGCACACCCCCTACTAGGGATATGACTGCAACCAATGTACATGCCTTTGACCGGAATCAAACCCGGGACCTTTCAGTCCGCAGGCCGATGCTCCATCCACTGAGCCAAACCAGTTTCGGCGAGTCCTGCTTTCTTAGTGTGCAGATACTCAGATTCCTTGAACATTCCACAATGCTGACCTTTCCTTTGTAGAATGGGGATTTTACAATTGTACCTGAAGAACAAGAGGCTCTAGTGCCGATGTGTTCTTCCATCTAGTCCATGACAGATTATTCTAGTTACATTTACTTACATGTTTACTATGGGTATTTCTAAATCTGATTTTCTTAAGAGAAAGGGGTAATTATCCTGTGGGCCATCTGGTCTACTAGATCGCATGGTTGGAAGCCATTCTGGGGCTGGGCTGTGCTAGTCCTGAGCCTGCACACACCTGACCCTGTCTTTGTCACGGCTGATGATAGTCAGGGGTCTGCTCAACCAAGGCCCTCAGCCAATTATGCTAAAGATAGGGCTGCTTTCTCTGAGCCCCCAAAGATATGGCTGTTTGTGTGTGATGGGAACCAATGACAGAACAAAGGTTTTCCTGTAGGAGGCCACTGAGGCACATACTATTGCTCTGAAATCTCTAATTACCTGGCTAGAGGCCAGGGGGAATCCTTTTTTTCCTACTTCACTGGGTCTAGAATATCCCCTTGTTTGTGTATTTATACACTCAGGATGTACTTGGTGGCTTCTCAAGGGACTGTTATGCTATTGCAGTGGACTTGGAACCTGTCACTTATCTGACCCTGTCTGAATGCCCTGGATCTTCTCTGGTGTTCCTCAGTAGAGGGTGGGATGTGCTCGGTTCTCCAGCTGGGCTGAGCAAGGCTGAGACTAGGTTGTGGCAACGCTCTTCAATCTTTCAGATTTTTGTGTTTTGGGGTTTTTTAGTCTTTTGTTTTTGAAAACAGTTGAGAGAATCACAAGTGAAGAATGCTGTTGCCGGGACCGGTGTGACTCAGTGGATAGAGCATCGGCCTGCGGACTGAAGGGTCCCGGGTTCGATTCCGGGCAAGGGCATGTGCCTTGGTTGTGGGCACATCCTCAGTAGGGGGTGTGCGGGAGGCAGCTGATCGATGATTCTCTCTCATCGATGTTTCTAACTCTCTATCCCTCTCTCTTCCTCTCTGTGAAAAATCAATAAAATCTATTAAAAAAGTAAACTTAAAAAAAAAAAAAAAGAATGCTGTCCACCAGGAAAATTGTCGCTCACTGCTTGTTCACATCATCCTGACCCGTGGTGAACTTCCTTGTGACATCGGTCAAACTGGAGGTCATTCTCATGGGGAAATTAGGCCAAGGTATGGAGGCTCTCAAAATAATGTGGTCCTTTGAGGGCGTGGAGGCTGGGACAGAAGGGAAGCCTGACACACAGGAGACTGGTGCCAAAGGGGGAACCATGGGCACGGGCAGGGAGCTTGTGGTCAAGAAAGCAAAGACACCCAGAGGCAGTAAGAGAAGCGGAGCTGTTTAATTGTCTCCTTGGCCAGACTCAAGGCTGTGGTTGCCCCTGAACAGCTCACACCTGGAAGCCATTAAGAGTCGCTGGACATGGAGTGGCCACTCGAGTCAGAGGATGAAGGAGGACAGGAAGGGGGCGCTTCAGTGTCTCTGACGCCATCATCCGGCCATCTTGCCCCCAGGTCCTGCTTCAGCTCTTAGAGGTTCCTGGCTGGTCCCAGCTGCGGTGGGAGATGACCCTGAGGCCGGGGCAGCCATTCCCCACGTGGCCTGCATTGAGGACTTGGCACTGTCCGCACGGTGGTGGTAACAGAGGTTTAAGGCCGGGGAAGAGGGGAGTGGGGGGAGTAGAATCGGGGGTTGCCTGGGTCCCACCACCAGTCTGGAATTAAATAGCAGAGAGAAGGGTTGTCCATGGGAACACTGACTTGTCCCCAGAGACAGTTCCTGGTGATGGGCTGACATTGGCAACAGACCCTAGCAGCAGGCAGTTGTCCTGACAAGAGGGTGGCCCCTATTGACAGTCCCTGGCAGTTTCCTGAACAGAGGGAGGAGCTGGCCGGGGAGTCTTGCCCCCAACTATTTATTCTTCTTGAAGAAGCTGAAGCGTTTCTCTCGGTCTCGTTCTCTGCCGTCCTTGCTGCGAAGTACCACGGGCCCCTCAGCCCCGACCGGGGACACTGGGGGCATTGTCATGGCCCGGGTCATGCCCCGGGTGGCGCTGGGCACCGTTGGCTCCTCAGGCTCGCCGGAGGCAGAGGACGCGGTGGCGATGGCTGCGTTCACCACCCGCAGCCACGAGCTCATCTCTGCCTGAGGGAGCAGAAAGACAACCGGTCAGCGTCACGGTGGCTGCGCCGAGGCCGCCAGCCTTGGCCAGCGGGGAAGCTTGGGAGGAGGCGGCAGGAAAGTGGTTTGACTATTCCATGCCATTGGAGAAAAAGTCCCCTTAAGACAGGGAACGTGTATTGGTGTGGCCTTCACAGACATCCAGGTGGCACCCTGTGGGCTGTCTGATTCCAAAGAATGCGACACTTAAGGGAAAAGAGAGCAGAGAGGGAAGAAAGGAGAATCTACAATTGGAGGGTCCTGAGAATGGCAATGGGGAGACGGGGGTGTGGGCGGAGAGCGGGCAGCTCACCTCATCCTTGGCTTGGAATAAATATTCTTTCCCGTCCTGCAAGCTGTTGGGAGAGAGAGAAGCCTCAGGACAGAGCTGAGACTCGGGATTGGCCCAATCAGTGCTGGGAGGAGAACAAGCCTGCTGGGGCCCTCGGAGCTGATCGGACACCTCTGCACACCCTCCCCAGTCTCAGGACACCTCTGCACACCCCCTGAGTCTCAGTCTCAAATGCTTCTTGATTGGCTACAGGGGCCAGGGTGACCTCACTCCCACCCCAGGCCATGCCTCCAGCGCTGGCTGCTTGCTGGCAGCAGGGGCCGGCGCCTGGAGGTCCCTGGAGGCAGGGGAATGCCAGCGCCCTGTCCTCAGACATCCATCCAGGACAGTTTTCAGCCTGACACGGTCAGCCATCAGGCCCGAGTCTTGGAGCTCCTGCTCCCCTTGGTGTGAAATACAATTTCTCCATCTTTTCCCATCTCTCCTCCTGCCCCCAAATGCCTGGCCTGAACTCTACCCTTCCTCAGCTTGCATCGCTCTGCCCGCCCGCCCCCCCCTCCCCCGCCCCCGGGGCACGGCTCTGCTCCTACCCCAGCTTGAAAACGTGTTTGCGCTTCCGATAATCAAAGGCCACGCCGCCCTGGGCCCTGGCCAGGCTGACAGGCACTTCTCCGTGGTACGGCACCCCCGCGCTGGCTGCCTTCAGGTCCTTGTAGAAACCAAGGCTCCCGAGACGCAGGACACAATACACGTTCTGCCACGACCTGGGAGGGACACGGCGCCGGTGACGGGGCGAGACAGGCAGACCGACCAGCTTCTGTGGGGCCGGGAGCCCCGGGCAGAGCGCGGGTTCTAGGATTTCCAGGGCCGCTCTGTTCGCAGGCCTGGCAGCGTACACACACCCTCCCGGCCTTCCGGAGGCCGGTCCCTCCCCGGAGGACCGTCCTCCTGCAGGGCTCCCGCCACGGCTCCCGCCATTCAGGGGGAAGCCTCTTCAGAGGCGGTGCCTGCAGAGGCCGCAGCCCCGCTACCTGTTGGCAGCCTTCTTGCCGAAGGCCTCCATCTCCTGCTTTCGGCACAGCATCCCCTCCATCTGCTCCTGGGCAGAGAGCTCCGGGCCTCGGGAGGGCAGCGCGGCCACCCGGGCTGACTCCGAGGACCAGCTCTGGGGCAGGGCGGGAGGGGCCGAGCCCTGGCTCCGGGCCTGCCTCTCTCCCTGGGGCCCGTTGGTCTCGTCCCCGGGGGGGCCGGACCCCTGTGGGGAGAGAGTCTGTGTCACAGGAGGAGGGAGCGGGAACTGGACGTCAGGAGCTTCAAGTCCAAGAGCGGGGCTTCCCGCCCCCAAGTGCCTCTGAGCTGCTGCCCTCTCCTGCCCTCAGCGGCCCCGCCGCCCAGCACACACCGTCCCTCCGGATACCGACACCCACACCCCGGGAGGGACTCACAGGCCCTTCGGCGAAGCTGCCCTGCTCCAGTCTCTGCTGCTCCAACAGGGGCTGCGAGGACAGGAGGCCGTGAGAGAGTGCGGGGCGCGGGCGGACGTTCCCGCGGGGCCCGGGGTGCGGGCTCACCTGGGGGGACTCCCCATCGGCGCACACGCCGTTGACGCTGGCTGGCTGTGCGGGTGCTGGTGGCCGGGGGTGGGCTCTGGAGCGGCAGGGGACACAGACGAATGTAAGCCCCGGGGTGCTGCCCTCCAGCCGCCGCCGCCGCCTCCCCAGACGCCCCCTCGCACCTGTCCCCGGAGGCCTCAGGCGCCGTCTGGCCGTCCGCGAGGGCCCCTCCGGGCAGACTGGCCGTGGGCTCGGGCGCAGGGGGCTGTTTCCACCGCTCCTCCTCCTCCCTCTTCCTCCGCCGCTCCTTCTCCTGCTCCTCCAGCTGCCAAAACACCCAGGTCAGAGCACAGAGGGCCCCATGGGACGGGACCAGGGGGCTGGGGAAGATGCAGTGGCTCAGCTCCCCTCTGATGAACAGAAAGGAAACTACAATTCCGGACGAAGGCGGGGATGAGGAGAAACGGGAGGCGGCGCCTCACAGCGTCACTCAGGGGGACGGCGACTCCCGGCGCTGTGGTGACAACATGGCCCTCGTGGCTCACGTCCGGAGGTGCCGGGGCAGGGGGAGCAGGGGAACTGTTTCTCCCAGCAGAAGGGAGCACGGGCTCGGGGCAGCGGGACCGGGTACTGCTGCCCACGACCCTACCCCAGACACCAGTTCCCAATGCCCTCACCGCGGTGAGCTTCTCCAGCGCGCTGAACCGCTCCTCCCAGGCCACCGCGGACTTCTGGAAGGCCTCATGCCGCTTGATGAGGTTCTCCACTTCGTCCACGGTGCAGCCCAGCTCCGCGCTCCGCACCAGCGGCTCCTGGCTGCACAGCCAGGCCTCCGCCATGCCTGCGTCTCTCCCAAACACGAGCACCTCCAGAACTGCAGGGAGGGGGCGGGTCAGAGTGGAGCCCGGCAGAGCACTGTGACCACCTCAGGAACGGGCACAGAGAACGCTCCTGCCCCCGAGCAGGGGCACAGGGCGGAGCCGAGGGCGGGAGCCGTGAGTTCCACGCCCAGGATTCCTGGTCTTACTCTGGAAACTGCAGGGTTCGAGACCCCCAGCCCCTCCCGGCAGGGCCCGGCACCCTCACCAAGCTGCAGCCAGTCCATCTTCTCCTGCCACTTGTCCGCGGTCTCCTGGCGCCGGGCCTGCAACTGAGACAGCTTCTCCGAGATCTGGGGGCCGAGAAGCGAGTTAGCACCCCACTGGGCTTCTTGGGTGGGGGGGAGGGCGGTGAGGGGAGGGGAGCTCTGGGGGACTGACCCAGGGGAACTAGTGATTTCAGGAAGCAGACAGCTCAGGGTGGGGAGGGGAGAGAGAGAGCAGCAGGGAGGGGAGAGAGGAAGGTTCCTGTAAGGAAGGGTGAGGAAGACTCGGGAGAAAGCACAGCACCGAGGCCGCTGCCACAGGACGGCCTGGCTGTGCCCAGGCCTCGCCCACCTCCTCAGCGGCATAGTGGCTCCTGGCGAGCAGCGCCTGCCCCATGTCGATGCAGGACGAGAAGCGGTCGGCCCTGGCCTCGATCTCTGCTTTGATGCCCTGGTGGTTCTTGATGACCATGTCTGCGGAGGACACGTCTCTGGGGGCACAGAGACCGCGTCACGGCACCGCCACCCTCGGCCCTATCCCAGCCGCCAGCTCCCGACCCCTGTAGGCCTGGCGCCGTGGGCCTCACCGGGGCCGCTCCTGGGCGTCCATCTGCAGGTTCACCCCGTCCATCCACAGCATCAGCTCCCGCACGGCCATGAAGAAGCGGAACTTGTCCGTCGTGTCCAGCAGCAGCTGGCGGCGGGCGGCGGAGTTCCCCTGGAGCTGGGCCCAGGCCTCCGCCACGGCCTGCATGTGGCGGCCGATCTCCTCGGCCTTGTCTCCCGCATAGGCCTTCTGGAGCCGGTGGCCATCGTCCTGCACCTGCTGCACCTGCAGGGCCCGGCTCAGCGTCAGGCAGGGCCGGAGAGACTGAGGAGCCGCAGTCTCCTCCCCGCCACCCCACCCTGGCCTCTGCCTGCCCGCCTGCCCATCCCCCGCCGGAGGAGAGAGGAGGAGCAGGGGGTGGGGCTGGGAAAGGTGGCTGCTGGAAAAGGTGACAGCTGGTGCCAAGTAAGCTTTGCCATCCTCTCCCTGTTGGGTCCAAGTAAGCTTTGCCATCCTCTCCCTGTTGGGTCCCCAGTGGGAGCCTGGGCGTGGCCTGGCGTGCCCTTTAAGAGGGCGACCAGCCGGTTGGGCCTTCAGAGGCTTGTCGGAGACGTGAGCCTCAGGTTTGGCCAGAATGAGATATTCAGCCTGAAAGAGGGACTTGGGCGGGGGAGGAGGGGATGACTGAGTTTAAACGGCTGCAGGAAGGATCCCTGCTTGGTTTGTGTGGGTCTGGAGCTCTAGTTGGGTGGGACCGATGGGTGGGTTTTGGTACCACATGAATCCTCCAGCCTCGGGACCACGTGACGATGCCACGGACCACGTGACGATGCCACGGGACCACGTGACGATGAACGGGACCATGTGATGATGCCACGTGATCACGTGACGATGCCACGGGACCACGTGACGATGCACGGGACCACGTGACGATGCCACGGGACCACGTGACGATGCCACGGCCCTCAGGGAGGCTTGTCGTAAAGGTGTGAACGTGGTGGCGAGATGTCCTCTGGCCAGAGATGTTTCCCTAGAGCAATTCCACCTCCTCCCTACGTGGCCTTCCAGAGGGTGCCAACCCCGGCCTTTCCGAGGGCCCGGCCTTCCCACGGAGTCTCCCCCCAGCCACGCCTGGCCGCACGTGCTCGGGCCTGACCTGGGCGCTGAGGGCCTGGATGTCGTGCTCGAAGGCGCAGTGCCGGCGCTGCAGGGCCTCGGCCGCGTTGAGGTCCCGGCCGGCGCCGTCGGGCAGCTGCTGCTGCTTCTGCTGCACCCGCGCCAGGGCCTGGCGGGCGCCGTGCAGGAAGCGCTGGAGCTCGTAGGCGGCCGCCAGCACCTGGCCCCGCGTGTCCAGCAGCTCCAGCAGGTCGGCCCAGGCCTCGTTGAGGCCGTCCTTCCACTCGGCCACGGTGGCCCGGGCGGCGTGGCCCCCGTCGATGAGCCCGTTGGCCAGCGCGTTGGCACTGTCCACGCGCTCCTGGCCGATGGTGCTCGTGTCCCGGGAGAACTCTCGGAATTTGTCCCGGAGCATCTGGGGGAGGGGACGGGTGCACCGACAGCTCTGACTCTGGCCCCTGTCTCACAGGATGGGGCAGCGGGGGGTGGGGGGGGCTTCTCACCCCACACTGAGCACCCCCTTCTCTCCCTGGGCCACACGGACCAAAACAGGGCGCTCCAGCTGAGCTGAGCCCATGACAGATGCCAGTGGTTCCCCGTGACCCTGGATTTGAACTCCCGGGCCCTCAGCAGAGGCCGTGGGGACCCTGCAGCCTGCAGCCTGCAGACAGGGATCGTACACTGCCTAGCTCCCCTGGAAAAGAGTGGTCGCTCATTTCCTTCCCACCCGGCCTCCTTTCTGCCCAATTCTCCCCCTTACATGCCTCAGAACCCGGAGCACAGTGCCGTGCAGCCGGGTCTGCCCCACCCCGGGGTGCCCCGCGCAGGAGGGGGCCCCGGTCCCCCAGCGGGGCCCACCCACCTCGCCGGGAGCTGGCCTGCGGCCGGTGTCCCCCCCGCACTCACCGTCACGTGCTCGTAGTCCTGGCCCAGCTCGTGGGAGGCCGCCACCACCTCGCGCTCCTGGATCCACTGCTCCAGGTCGTCCAGCTCCCGGCGCAGCTGACACAGCCGCAGGTGCTCCTGCAGGCCCTGCCGCCGCTCCCCGGCCAGCTCCTTCAGGCCGGCGTACAGCTTGTCCACCTGGGCTTGGCGGATGGATATCCGTGTGCTGCGGGGAGGGGAGCGGCCCGGGACTCAGGATGCCCTGATGGGACCCCAGCCCGTCCCGCAGGGTCCTGTCCCTCTCGGCCCGCCGGCCGCACCCTTCCGGGCGGGTCGGTGTGCACACAGCACCGGAGGCTCCGCGGCCCCTGCACCTCCCGGAACTGCTGCCCTCCCCAGGCGCGGGGTCCCTCCCCAGGCGCCGTGCTCACCTCTCGGGGTGGTCGTGGTCAATCATGTCCTGGCTGCTGGCCGCCAGCTGGTGGATGGTCTGGGCGTAGTCGGCCAGGGCCTGCTCCAGCACCTGGTGCTTCTTCACCGCGGCCTGGGCGCTCAGCTCGTCCTGGGGACCGGGCGGCGGCGTCAGGCAGGGGCCCGGGGAGGAGCGGGGCAGGGGCCGGCCCGGCTCTGCCCGGCCTCACCTTGGCCTTCTCCTGGCCCATCATGTGCAGCTCCTGCTCCCCCATCCAGGCCTCGGCCTCGGCGGCGTCGCGGTAGAACTGCTGGGCGCGCAGGGCCTCCTCCAGGCGCTTCCCGCGGAGCTCCAGCTCGCGGCCCAGGCGCTCCCACATGGCCTGCAGCTCGGCCAGCTCGGGGCCCGCCGCGGCCGCCCCCAGGGCCCGCTGCCGCTCCCCCAGCTCCGCGATCCGGGGCTCGTGGCCCTGCATCTCCTTCCGCAGCGTCTGTTCCCCGCAGCAGGGGAGGACACGGAGAAGCTGGCTGGGCCCCTGCCCCTCCTCAACACCAACCCCCTCACGCTCTGCGTCTCTTCCTTCCTGAATCCCCTGCAGCCCTCCCTCCTGGCCCAGGAGGTGCCGGTGAAGCTCCCCCACTCCAGGTCCTCTCTGAGGGAGGCAGCCAGGGGTCTAGGGCCGCACCGGCATGGGGGGGGGGGGCAGAGAAACCCCAGGTCCCCGGAGGCGGCTGGGACCTTCCTTCCGCCTTTCGCCTCGGCCTCACCTGGTTTTTCTTCATGAGGAGCTGGACGCTGGGCAGGTCCTTGCCATGTTCCCGGGAGCTGGCCATGGGCAGGCGCTCCGTCACCCACAGCTGGAGAGAGAGGAGGGTCAGGGGCCGCGGGCCAGGCCGGAGTGGGGAGCTGGGGGGCCGCGGAGGGGACGTGATCCAGGCCCCTGTTGTGTGTGTGTGTGTGAGCGTGTATGAGCGTGTGAGTGTGTGTGTGTGTGTGTGTCTGTCTGTTAGTGTGTCTCTGTGTGTGTGTGAGTGTGTGTGTGTCTGTGTGTGTGTGTGTCTGCCTGTGAGTGTGTGTGTCTGTGTGTGTGCGCAGGAGACGGCCAGCCCTGGTTCCAGGGAAAGGGAGCTTCCAGGGATCCCACGTGGCCCAGAGGGATGGTGCTCAGTGCCGAAGGGAGGGGGACGCGGCTGGCCTTCCCCGGCGCAGGGCAGGGCGGCTCCCGTGGGCACCGCGGACTCACGATCTCGTCCTCCACGTCCCGGTGGAACTGGTGCTGCTCGCGGGAGGCCTGCAGGCGCCGGCAGCGCTCCCGCAGGGGCTGGCACAGGGCCCGGAACTGCTCCTCCACGGCCCGCGAGGTCCTTTCCACCTCGCCCGCCCCCTGGTCCTCCTGCGCCAGCGCCTGGGCCTGGGCCTGGATGGCCTCCACCTCCTTCTCCCGCACCGCCATCTCCCGCTCCAGCATCTGCCGCGCGAGAGGAAGCGTCACCCCAGCGGGGCCGAGCCAATACCAGCCCATCTCCCCTGGGCTCCCCCAGGGCAGCACCCCTCACGGCCTGGGGAGTGGGTCTCACGCTCTAACGGACATAGAGTCCGGGAAGGGGCCCTGGTCACTGTGCCCGTGGGCAATCCCCTGCCTCTCAGTCCCAGATCCACCTTTCCCTCCCGGTGGGAGGCCTGAGGATGATGGACCCTGGAGACAAGTCTCCAGCTGGTGCAATGCCGGGCCCTGCCAGTAGAGGGCGATGGGGAGACACCACAAGGCACGGAGAGGGGGGCTCCGGCTTTTGGCTCTTCTCCAGCGCCCACGCAAAGCTGCCCACCGTGTGGTGTGCGGGAGGCCAGGGGCTATCCCCCAGCAAGTTTCCCTGGCCTCAGTGGCGATGCCCTGCTGGCCAGCTTTGGCCTGCCAGCTGCAGACTCCCCAGGGGATTCCCAACGCCACTAGTGGGCTCGGCCCTCGCCACAGAGTTCCAGACCGAGCCTGGGGGTACCTGAGAACGGCCCCCCATCTCCAGAGCTCCGGGCGGCCCCTCCCGCCTCCTGCACGCCTCCTCCTCCGCAGCCAGGGCTCCCGCACACACACCTGCTGCTTCTTGAGCAGAATGTTGACGCTGGTGAGGTCCTTGCCGTAGTCGTCCGAGTGCAGCTGGGCCTGCAGGCTCAGCAGCCAGCTCTCCAGCGCCGAGCAGCTCTGGGCAAACAGCTCGGCCCGGTTGGCGTCGAAAAGGCTGCGGGCCTTGGCCTGCGTGGTGGTCTCCAGCTCGTCCCAGCGCCGATGCAGGTCCTCCAGCTTCTCCGACACCAGCGCCTTCAGCTCCGGCTTCTCCAGGCTCAGCTCCCGCCCCTCCTGGCGGCGGGCAGAGAGGTGTAAGTCTGGCCTGGACCCCACTGCGTGGGGCAGAGGCCTGACTGACGGACAGCAGAGGCCTAAGAGTGAGCAACAATTCCGAGCTCTCGTGTGTTCTCCTTGACCTGCTCTTCTCCAAGGTTTGGGGACCCCCCCCCAAACTCCCCTCCCTCGCTGGATCCCCCCCCCCCCAACTTCCCTCTCTCGCTGCTGCTCCAACTCAGCTCCCCCTCACATCTCAGCTCCACTGAGAAGCCTCTGCCATCTCCCCCATTTCGAGTTCCCTCAAGCTCGTGGTTTCTGGTGTCACATTGCGCACGGTCTTGTTATCTGTTACGGTTTCATTTTTTCTTTTTTAATATATTTTATTGATTTTTAAAAAATATATTTTATTGATTTTTCACAGAGAGGAAGAGAGAGGGACAGATAGTCAGAAACATCGATGAGAGAGAACATCGATCAGCTGCCTCCTGCAAACCCCCCACCGGGGATGTGCCCGCAACCCATGTACATGCCCTTGACTGGAATCGAACCTGGGACCCTTCAGTCTGCAAGCTGACGCTCTATCCACTGAGCCAAACGGTTTTGGCTGATTTTTTACAGAGAGGAAGGGAGAGAGATAGAGAGCTAGAAACGTCGATGAGAGAGAAACTCCGACCAGCTGCCTCTTGCACACCCACTACCGGGGATGTGCCCGCAACCAAGGTACATGCCCCTGACCGGAATCGAACCCGGGACCTTTCAGTCCTCAGACCGACGCTCTACCGCTGAGCCCAACCGGTTTCGGCTGGTTTCATTTTTCTCAGCTCCTCACCCTCCTGTCGCCCCCTCGCAGCCTCTCCGCCGGAGGACTGGTTTCTGGGGAGGTGAGGGAGGCAGAGGCCTGCACGATGGAGCTGGTGGACAAACAGCACTTTGGCGCTTTGGTTGGGATGACTTGGGCGCCACATTAGGACTGGGCACCAACCAGCTGCCTTCTGGGGTAGCCAGCATGGCACCGGGCCCTTTACTGACTGCCCACCCTGCTCTGTCTCCTCTGCCCACTGCCCTCTGGTGCCTCCGGCGCCCGCCCCGTTCTAAAGTCTCGCTTCAGGGGGCAGACATCACAACATGCAGCGTCAGCGTCCACGCTGCTGGGGCCACTTCCCAAACCTTCAGCACAACCCACACCCGCCGCCCCGTCCTGACGGTGCCCGCTGCTTCCCACGGCCTTTCCCCCGGCTCTCCCGCCGCTTCCTCCCGGGGCCCCTGCACGAATCCTGTGTTCTAGACGGACTTTCCCCTGGGCTCCGAGACAGACCCCACCTCCTCCTCTGGTTCCCAGCTGCTCTGCTTCTCTGCCTACAAATATCTCGCCTCCAGCAGCTCCGCTGTCCACCTGCCGCTCACCCCTCACGACTGCCCTGCGGCTCCTGCTTCCCGGGCCCCACCCGGCTCCCGGAGCCCAGGCCTCCCTGGCTCTCACTGTGCTCCCGATACTCTGCTTTGGATTCCACTTCTCTGCTTGTGTGTGGGACTCAGACCCTGGCCGCAGTGGCAGCACCTGCCCCGCTTCGTATACAAGGCTTTGCACATTGCAGCACCAGGTCACTGTTTGCGGAACAAAGGGAAACACGGAATACACATGGTCTCTTCTGCGCCAGCGGTATGCCCTGGGGAAGGCGGGTGTCTTTATACGCCTCGCAGCCCCCGCGGAGCGCTGAGGACATATCATCGTGTCCAGCAACACTCGCTGAGTAGAAATGAAGTTTTCCCTGTGCTCAGCCCCTGAGGAAGAGCTGGGAGGAGAGCAAAATACCAGGAATTGCAAGACTCAAAAGCAGGGCTGGGCAAACTGCGGCCTGTTTTTATAAACGAGGTTTGTTGGCACTCTGCTACACGAGTCCGTTCGCGTACCCCACGGCCGCTTTTCACCGCGAGGGCAGAGGCGAGCGGTCGCTGCAGAAGCTATGAGGCTCCCAAAAGCCTGGAGTAAATCCCCGCCCCCCCCCCGGCCCGGAGGAAGTGCTGACCTGCCGAGGGGTGTCATCCCGATGGGACCCCAAAACCGCAGCTTGGCTTCTTACCAACGTGCGCTTCCTCCAAGCTCTGGAGTCCCTGTCCCACACACCCAGCACGTGTGTGCCTCAGGGCAGAGTGCCCCGCCTTCGGAGATGGGCATGGGAGCCCCGTGACCTCTGGCCCCGAAGAGCCCTGTCCGGACGCCGGGTCCGCCCCGCACGGTGGCCAGGCCCGGCCCGGAGGAGCCCACAGGCCCCGCCCGCCGCTCCGGCCGCACTGGCCGCGCTCACCTTGTCCACCTTGTCCAGCCAGTCCTTGTTGGCCGCCAGCTCCGCCATGAACGCCTGGTGCTTCTGCCACTTGGTGTGCAGGTTGCGGGCCTCGTCGTAGGACACGTCCTGGGCCGTCAGCATCTTCTCGTCGATCCAGAGCTTCAGCTGGACGGGCACAGGCCGGGGCGGAGAAAGGCCGTGTGCGTGTCAGGAGGAGGGGAGTGGGAGGCATCCGGGGGGCTGGGAGCTGGGGGAAGGGGCGGGTGTGGGGGGAAGCTGGCTGGGAGAAGGGATGGGTGTGGGGAGAAGCTGGTGGGAGAAGGGGCGGGTGTGGGGGGAAGCTGGCTGGGAGAAGGGGCGGGTGTGGGAGAAGCTGGCGGGAGGTGGGAGAAGCTGGCGGGAGAAGGGGCGGGTGTGGGAGAAGCTGGCGGGAGAAGAGGCGAGTGTGGGAGAAGCTGGCGGGAGAAGGGGCGGAGGTGGGGAGAAGCTGGCGGGAGAAGGGGCGGAGGTGGGGAGAAGCTGGCGGGAGAAGGGGCGGAGGTGGGAGAAGCTGGCGGGAGAAGGGGCGGGTGTGGGAGAAGCTGGCGGGAGAAGAGGCGAGTGTGGGAGAAGCTGGCGGGAGAAGGGGCGGAGGTGGGGAGAAGCTGGCGGGAGAAGGGGCGGAGGTGGGAGAAGCTGGCGGGAGAAGGGGCGGGTGTGGGAGAAGCTGAGTACCTAGCTCATAAGTATTCAATAAATATTTGTTGAATGAATGGATGAATGGATGGATGGGTAGATGGATGGATGGATGGGTGGATAGGTGGGTGGTTGGATGGTTGGAATGGTGGTAGATAAATGGATGATTGATTATGGACTGAATTAACTGAGAATGGCAGCAAGGGAGCAAAAGTGAGGACTGACTCGTGGACATGACTAAGAAAACTTAGGCGGGAGAAGGGGCGGGTGTGGGAGAAGCTGGCGGGAGAAGGGGCGGGCGTGGGAGAAGCTGGCGGGAGAAGGGGCGGGCGTGGGAGAAGCTGGTGGGAGAAGGGGTGGGTGTGGGAGAAGCTGGCGGGAGAAGGGGGGAAGCTGGCGGGAGAAGGGGCGGAGGTGGGGAGAAGCTGGCGGGAGAAGGGGCGGGTGTGGGAGAAGCTGGCGGGAGAAGGGGCGGAGGTGTGGGAGAAGCTGGCGGGAGAAGGGGCGGGTGTGGGAGAAGCTGGTGGGAGAAGGGGCGGGTGTGGGAGAAGCTGGCAGGAGAAGGGGCGGGTGTGGGAGAAGCTGGCGGGTGGGGGGAAGCTGTGCGGTCCCGCTCAGGGGCCGTGGCCGCGGGCTTCTTGGCTGGGAGAGCCGGCGTGGGAAGGCACCGTGTGGGGCCGGGCCGGGTGGAGCCTCACCTCGTGGCAATCCTGCAGGAAGTGCTGCTGCTCCCGGTTGTCACGGAGACGCCCCAGCAGCTGCTGCACGGCTTCCTGGTTCGCCCTGTGTCTGTGAGGACGGCCCTCTGAGCCGCCGCGTGCGGGAAGGGCTCCCGGCCTCCCGCGGGCACCGCGCCCGCCGGGCACCGGGCGCCCTGGCTCACTCCATTCTGCTCCCGCGGGAGGGAGGCAGGCCCTCCCAGCTGCTTAGGCCAGCGGTTGGCAAACCCATCAGTCCGCAGAGCCGAGAATCGACAGCTCAGCGACTGAGATTCCCTTTGAGAGCCACGCTTTCAACGTAAACTCCTTCCAACGCCACGTCTTCCACACAGACTCGCCCAGGCCGGGGTGCTTTGTGGAAGAGCCGCCCTCAAGGGGCCAGAGAGCCGCCTGTGGCTCGAGAGCCGCAGTTTGCCGGCCTCGGGCTTGGGCCCTCTCTGACCATTGAGCGCTTCTTCGTCTACCTCTTGGCAGCTCCAGCCCCTCTGCCGGGCCGACCTCCCTGCGTTCCTCTCTCGGACCCTGCGGCCCGGCCCTCGGCCTACCTCCGCTCGATGGAGTCCGCCTTCTCCCGGATCTTCTCGGCGTGCATGTTGCCCTCGGACACCAGCTGGCGCCCGGCCTCCAGGAGCCCGCGGATGCGCTCCCCGTTGGCGTCCATGGTGCTCACGAAGTCTTCCAGCTTCTTTATGGTGGCGTCCGCCGCCTGCAGTGTCCCGGGCATCTCCGTGTGGGACAGCACGTACTCCTGGGGGGGGGGGCACCGAGGTCACTCCCCAGCGCGGGGCTCGGCGCTCAGCCAGCGGCCGCCCGGGGAGGCAGGGCAGGCCGCCCAGCCGTGCCGGCCAGCACCGTGCCTGGCTGCGGGAGTGTCAGGAGGCTGTAGAGAGCCGGGCTGGAGAAGCTTTAACAGTACAAACCCTGCCCTGACCGGTGTGGCTCAGTGGATAGAGCGTCGGCCTGCGGACTCAAGGGTCCCAGGTTCGATTCCGGTCAAGGGCATGAACCTCGGTTGCGGGCACATCCCCGATGGGGGGTGTGCAGGAGGCAGCTGGTCGATGATTCTCTCTCATGGATGTTTCTAACTCTCTCTCCCTTTCCCTTCCTCTCTGTAAAAAAACCAATAAGATATATACTGTGTTTTCCGGAGTATAAGACGACCCCCTAATTTTATAGTTAAAACATAGGTTTATGCCGGGACCGGTTTGGCTCAGTGGATAGAGCGTCGGCTTGGGGACTGAAAGGTCCCGGGTTTGATTCCGGTCAAGGGCATGTACCCTGGTTGCGGGCATATCCCCAGTAGGGGGTGTGCAAGAGGCAGCTGATCGATGACTCTCTCTCATCAATGTTTCTGACTCTCTATCTCTCTCCCTTCCTCTCTGTACAAAATCAATAAAATATCTTTAAAAAAAAAACACAAAACAAAATAAACAAAAACATAGGTTTAGGCCTATATTCGCTGAATAAGACTACCCCGTCCCCCCCTTCAAAGAAAAGACTTACTTTGCCGTCAAGATCTGCAGCTAATTTTTGTGCGATTTTGGTCTTTTGCCCCCGATTTTCGGTGGACTTCCCCCCCCCCCCCCCCCCCCCCGTTTCAAAAGTCGTCTTATACGCCGGAAAATATGGTATTTTAAAAAAAAAAAAAAAGGTCCAAACCCTATCCCATCCCGTTTCTAGCGACAGAGTCCATTTCTGTAGCACTTCTATGACAAGCCAGTTTATGTCGATTTCGATAAGTCATGGCCCATATTTTCCTAACGTGTTCTTCCTGCCCGTCCTGTTTCCTCCTCTACCCCACCTTTTCCGCCGTATCCCCCCCACCCCCCAATCCACCTCTCCTCCCCACGCCCGGCCCCCGCTCCCCGGTCTCCCGGACCGGACGCCGGGCTCTCACCTGGCTGCTGAGCACGCCCTCGGCCTGGCGAGCATCCCGCAGGAATCCCTGGGAGCCGTGGGCCTGGGCCAGGCGGCCCTGCCGGCTCTCCCACATGCGGCCCAGCTCCTCCCAGCCGGTGCCCAGGGCTTCCAGGCGCTGCCGCAGGAAGAGGCACTGGGCGTCGGCCTGGTCCCGGGTCACCTCCTCCCCCAAGGCCCGCAGCCGGCCGTGCTCGCCGCGGGCCCGCTCCACCTCGCCCCGCAGGGCCGCGTGCTGGGCCAGGAGGGCCTCGGCCTCGGGCAGGGTGGCCGGCCCCTCTTCGGAGGCCACGGCGGTCTGCGTGCGGCCCAGCCACGCCTGGAAGTCGTCTAAGCTGCGCAGGAAGTCCTGCAGCCGCCGCGCCTCGCCCAGCGACTCCTCTCGGCGCCTCATGGTGGCCCGGAGGCCCTCCCAGCCGGCTTGCACCTCCCCGAGCCGGGCGTGGATGGCGGCGCTCTGGGCGGGGTGGCCGGCGGCCAGGGCGTCCGCCTCTCGGGTCAGCTCGCCCACCCGGGCGGCGATGGCCTCCAGGTCGCGCTCGGTGCCGGCCAGCTTGCGCTGCAGGGCCAGCACCCCGGCCAGGTCGTTGCCCAGGCCCTGCGTGGACTCGATGACCTTGGTCTTCTCCCTCATCCAGGCCTGGGTCTCCGTGCACTCCAGGTGGTAGTTCTGGATGCTCAGGGCCGACGTCAGAGCCGCCTTCTTGCCATCCGCCAGGGACCGGAACTGCTGCCACCTGGGCGTGCAGGGAGGGCCTGACGTCCGGGTACATCTGGAAGCTTCTTCCCTGCCTCTCTCCCCACCACCCGCTCCATCCTCACGTCCCCATCTCCATTGCTCCCCGTCCAGGCTCCGGCCCCTTCCATCTCCCACCGCTCCCCTCCCCCCAGCACCTTCCAGACCACCTTCCCGCCTCATTTCCGCCCCCATCCCCTTGCCCTACAGGACCCTCTGGTTGCCATCCCATCTGCTGTGCCCTCTCTCAGCCCCTCGTCCTCCCTCCAGCCACCTGTGGTTGAGCTGCTGCTGGGTGTTGACGATGCTGTCCTTGCCCGCGGGGTTGGCCGTCAGCAACTGCTCTGCGATGTCGTTCACGGCGGCGATTCGCGCCGCGAGGGCGTTCATTTCAGGCTCCAGGGTCTCGAACCTGAGGGGGCGGCAGGGCCGGGTAAGATCGGCGGGAGGTGGTGACGCACCTGCAGCCTCCCTAGACGGCCATGGCACGCCTCCCCGTCAGCCTGAAGCTCGTTTACAGGAGCCTCTGCACCGCTTACCTACAGGCTCACAGTGTCTGTGGACCAAGCGTGAGCCCCAACTCCCCCTACACAAGCAGAAAGACGGTCACCTCTAACGTTGCTCAGAAAGAGGTGGAAGTGAGAGGTCAGGAACAGCTGCACAAGTTAACTAATCCTGGCTCGGGGCCCCAGCCTTCGCCGGATCCTACCTTCTTCCTCTGGCCCTTACGCCTTCGCTGCCTACCTGGGACCCACGTTAAAAAGGAACTGACAACCACAACTACGGAACTGATCAAGATGTGAAGCGTAATTTCTCCCCGGGACATTTCACATCCTCCGAGACTGCCAGCACACACTTTCTTAAAGGTATAGTTTAGGTTTGTGGGCCACATGGTCTCTGACATTAAGTATTCAGCTCTGCTGTCTTCGGATGATGTGTAGCTGAATGAGCGTGGCTCTGTTCCAATAAAGCTTTATTTACAAAATCAGGCTGTAGGCCGGATTTGGCCCAAGGGCTGCAGTTTGCCAACTTGTCATAGGATAATTTGAAAACTAAAAAAAAAAAAATAAAAAATTTTTATTACCATTTTAAAACCATCAGGAAATCTGACTAGAGACTGAGTAGTAGATGGTAGTAAGGCATGGCTAATTTTGTTCTGTGTAATAATGGTATTGTGGTTCTATATAAAAAAAAAAAAATACGACCTTTCTATATGATTTTAACATTTATCATTCTGCAAATCAAGCTACATCCTGAGGTCAATCAGTGTCTCTACCTAAAGGCTTACAGCGTCAAAGCCTTAGCTATTTTAAGTCCACACACACACGGTTAAAAAATAACTTTTAAGAATACTTCCTCATATTTGTGGAAGGAGGCATCCTGGAGAAGGCAGAGATGGAACGATAACATTGGGGATTGGCTTTTGGAAGGGAAAATGAGTCAAACAGAGCCAGCGCTAACCATCTCGGACCCCAGGTGGTGGGCACACAAGAGTTGGCTGCACCACCTTTTCTGCTGTCGAGCGTGCTTAGCATTTTTCATGAAAACAGCAACCAAGAACCAGGACGCAGAGGGACAGAGCAAGAGCGGGCAGTTTCCGGGGAGACCCTCCGTGGCCCTCGCCGGCCCCCCACCCCCCCGAGGCCGTCCCGGGGGGCGCCTGCAGGGGGCCTACCTCTGCTGCACCACCTCCAGGTCCTCCAGGCGCTCGGGCAGGCTGAGCCCATTGAGCCACTGCTCCTTCTCCTCCACCCACAGCCCGCAGGCGCCCGCCTCGCTGAGCATGGTATAGCGGGCCAGCGCCGCCTCCAGGGCCCGCGCACGCTCGCCGGCCCGGGCCTGCAGCTCGGCGTACTGCCGCTCGAGCGCGGGCGCCCGGCCCTGCACCTCGGGGCTGCTGCTCAGCGCGGGCGGCAGGGCGGCCGCCTGCTCCCGCAGGGCGTCCAGGGTGGGCCGGTGGCCCCGGATCTCCTCCTCCAGCGCCCGGTGCTGCCGGGCCAGGGCCTGCGTGGAGAACTCGTCGTGCCCCAGCTCCGGGCTGGACACCAGGCGCAGCGCGTCCTCCAGCCAGGCCTCCATGTCGTTGGCGTCCGCCTGGAACTGGTAGAGGCTGGCGGCCTGGGCCAGCCGCTGGGCCCGCTCCTCGGCCAGCGCCTCCAGCCGCTCCCACTGGGCTCGGAGCTCGGCGGCCCGGGCGGCGGCCTGGCCGGCCCCGGGGTGGCCCTCGGCCACCAGCTGCTGGCCCTGCTCCAGCGTGAGCCGCAGGGGCCCCAGGCGGCCGCTCATCTCGCCGCGCAGGGCCCGGTGCTTGTTGAGCAGCCGGAGGACGCCCGTCAGGTCCCGGCCGGTCTCCGCCGAGGCCAGCAGGTGCTGCTGCTCCCGCACCCAGGCCTCCGCCTCGCCCGCCTCCCACAGGAACCGCCAGAGCTGCCGGGACTCCTCCAGGCGCGCCCTCCGGGCTGCGGCCAGCCGGCACAGGGCCTCGTAGGTCTGCTCCAGCGTGGCCACCCGCTCGGACACGAGCTGCGGGTCGCAAGGCTTGTACTCTGGAAAGGCCACGGTGCGGGGCTCAGAGCTGCCGCGTGGCCCTCCTGTGGCCCATCCATCTCTGGTCTCAAACCCTCACCCGGCTCCCCGGGGCTCCCTCCCTGGCTCTGTCACCCCCCATCCGCACACCACCCTTCCCGGCTCACCCCAGACTTCCCCGTCTTGTTCCGAACGTTCCGGCCCATCACGCCCTCCCTCCCGGCGCCCGTGCCCGGGCTGCCCGGCCTCACCTTTTCCGGGGTCGCAGAAGCGCAGGGCCGAGGCGCTCACAGCCCGCACCCGCTCCGCCTGCGCTGCGATGTCGGCCTCCACCAGCTCGTGCAGCTGCAGCAGGTCCTCCACGCCGGCCAGGTGCTGGCCCAGGTCCTGGGACTGCAGCCGGCCCTGCCAGGCACAGCAGGCACGTGGGTGCCCACGAGAGCCCCCCCAGGGCCTCCTCACCGGGCCTCTGCCAGCCCCGCCACAGGCTGGCTAACCTCACCCCCTTTCCTGGGTCCATCGCACGTCCCGACCTCTCCGGGCGGCTCCTGGCGTCACACCCGGGTGAACACACCTGCTCCCATCTGTGAGCCCTCACACACACGCGCACACACACACACACACACGCACACGGGGACGCCCCGTGTGTCCTGGCCCCTGGCCCCTCCGTCCTCAACTCGCCTCCTGCCCCCGGCATCTCCGCTCTGACTCCTTTTCTCGGCCCCAGAGAGATCGCCTCCTGGTATCGTGGCTCGGTCCCTAGTCATCTTCAGCATCTCCCCAGGCCCCTGCGTGTCCCCATCTGTCACCGAGCTCCCTGCGGCAGCCTATATCCCCGGCCTCTCCGCTCCCCGCGGGCTGCCCACAGCCCCTCTTCCCACCGTCACAGTGGCCTTCCTACAAACAGAGTGGAATTGCCTCTCCCCCTTTCAAAACCTTCTCATCGCTTTTAAGACGCCACGGCACTGTTATGTGTCTCTCTCACGTCGATGTTTCTCTCTCTGTGTCTCTGTCTGTACCCTTCCCTTCCACTCTCTCTAAAAGTCAGTGGGAGAATATCCTGGAGAAGAAAAAAAAAAAATTAAAAAAAAAAAGCCCGGCCAGTGTGGCTCAGTGGTCAGCCCATGAACCAGGAGATCCTGCTTTGTTTCATGGTCAGGGCACATGCCCAGGTTTTGGGCTCAATCCCAGACAGGGGGTGTGCAGGAAGCAGCTGATGGATGATTTTTCTCATCATTGATGTTTCTGACTTTCTCCCTCTCCCTTCCTCTCTCTGAAATCAATAATAATAAAAAAAACCACACACATATTTTAAAAAAGGCTCCATGTTACTATGAATAAAATCCAAACTCCTGCCCAAGCAGGAGATGGCTCAGTGGATAGGGCGCCGGCCTGCAAACCAAAGGGTCCCTGATCCGATTCCAGTCCAGGGCCACATACCCTCAGCTGCAGGCTCCTCCCCGGCCCGGGCCCTGGCCAGGGCTTGTGCAGGAGACAGCCAATCGATGTGTTTCTCACATGCATGTTTCTCTGTCTCTCCCTCTCTCTTACACGCTCCCTAAAAATCAGTGGGAAAAATGTCCTCAGGTGAGGATTAACAACAACAAAAATAGTAATCCCAACTCCTAGACCAGGCCTGCAGGCCCTAGTGAGCTGAGCTGGCCACCGCCTTCCTCGTCTCATTCCCCCGCCCCGCCCCGCCCCCTCTCGTGCTGGACACGCCAGCTGCAGCGGCCAGGCCTCCCCTGGACGCTCCTTCCGCCAGGGCCTCCTCTCCTCCGCCTCCCGTGCTGGCTGCTGGCACCATTCCGAGCTCAGCGTGCAGGCACTCCCTTCCTCCGCAGCCCCGCTGTCTCCTCAGCGGTGTCATCGTGCACCTGCTCTTCTGTTTGCTGACAGGTCCATGTCTATCCCCCGCCCCCTCCCGCTGGGACACGAGCCCGTGAGGGCAGGGACCTGCTTGCTCCGCTCCTCTCGCTGGGGACAGGGCCCTGCTCCGGAGCATCCTCTGTGCAGACCCGCCGCGCCCGGGAGGGACTGCCCCCACCGCCCTGGCCGCCGTACCTTCATCTCGTCCATCCAGTCCATGAGGTAGAGCAGGTCCTGGAACACCTTCTGCAGCTGCAGGCTGAGCAGCAGCCGCTCCCGCCGGGCGGCCACCAGCTGCCGCAGGGAGTCCCAGAGCCGCGCCACGCTGTGCTGCCGCGCCGAGACGCGCTGGATGTCATGGTAGCGCTCGGCGGCCAGCTCGGCGGCCACGGCGGCCACGGCCTGCACGCGGCCGCTGTAGGCCACGATGTCCGTCTCGAGGGCCTCGTGCTTCCGCACCGCCGCCTCCACCGCCGCCAGCGCCAGCCCGAAGTTGTCCTGGGACGGGGAGGGGAGGCGGGAGCTCAGCCCCCCTCGCCCCCCAGCACTGGGGCTGCAAGGTGCCACCCCAGGGGATGGCGCTCAGTTATCCCATCCCATCCCGTCTCGCCAGCCCTTTCTCCTGCTCAGGCCTCTGGCTCCCGGGATTCCTGGTCTTTGTATCCCCGTGATGGACTTCCTGTCCCATCAGCCCCCCCTTCCCTGCAGGGCTTCTTACCCGCCACCCCCTCCCCGCCTCTCCCCGCAGCCGGGACAGACTGAGCCCCCCTTCTCCCCGGACAGACTGAGCCCCCGCTTCTCCCCGCAGCCCAGACAGACTGAGCCCCCCCTTCTCCCCGGACAGACTGAGCCCCGCTTCTCCCCGGACAGACTGAGCCCCGCTTCTCCCCGGACAGACTGAGCCCCCGCTTCTCCCCAGACAGACTGAGCCCCGCTTCTCCCCGGACAGGCCGAGCCCCCGCTTCTCCCCGGACAGACTGAGCCCCGCTTCTCCCCGCAGCCCAGACAGACTGAGCCCCGCTTCTCCCCGGACAGACTGAGCCCCGCTTCTCCCCGGACAGACTGAGCCCCCGCTTCTCCCCGCAGCCCAGACAGGCCGAGCCCCCGCTTCTCCCTGCAGCCCGGACAGACTGAGCCCCCCCTTCTCCCCGCAGCCCAGACAGACTGAGCCCCCCCTTCTCCCCGGACAGACTGAGCCCCCGCTTCTCCCCACAGCCCGGACAGACTGAGCCCCGCTTCTTCCCGCAGCCCGGACAGGCCGAGCCCCGCTTCTCCCCGGACAGACTGAGCCCCCGCTTCTCCCCGGACAGAATGGCCTCCGCTTCTCCCCGGACAGACTGAGCCCCGCTTCTCCCCGCAGCCCAGACAGGCTGAGCCCCGCTTCTCCCCGGACAGACTGAGCCCCGCTTCTTCCCGGACAGACTGAGCCCCGCTTCTTCCCGGACAGACTGAGCCCCGCTTCTCCCTGGACAGGCCGAGCCCCCGCTTCTCCCCGGACAGAATGAGCCCCCGCTTCTCCCCGGACAGAATGGCCTCCGCTTCTTCCCGGACAGACTGAGCCCCGCTTCTCCCCAGACAGACTGAGCCCCGCTTCTCCCTGGACAGGCCGAGCCCCCGCTTCTCCCCGGACAGAATGAGCCCCCGCTTCTCCCCGGACAGACTGGCCCCGCTTCTCCCCGCAGCCCAGACAGACTGAGCCCCGCTTCTCCCCGGACAGACTGGCCCCCGCTTCTCCCCGCAGCCCAGACAGACTGAGCCCCGCTTCTCCCCGGACAGACTGAGCCCCGCTTCTCCCCGGACAGACTGAGCCCCCTTCTCCCCGGACAGACTGAGCCCCGCTTCTCCCCGGACAGACTGAGCCCCCTTCTCCCCGGACAGACTGAGCCCCCTTCTCCCCGGACAGACTGAGCCCCCGCTTCTCCCCTCTTCTCCCCTGACAGACTGAGCCCCCCCTTCTCCCCGCTTCTCCCCGGACAGACTGAGCCCCGCTTCTCCCCGGACAGACTGAGCCCCGCTTCTCCCCGGACAGACTGAGCCCCCTTCTCCCCGGACAGACTGAGCCCCCCTTCTCCCCGGACAGACTGAGCCCCGCTTCTCCCCGGACAGACTGAGCCCCCTTCTCCCCGGACAGGCCGAGCCCCCGCTTCTCCCCGGACAGACTGAGCCCCCCCTTCTCCCCGGACAGACTGAGCCCCCGCTTCTCCCCGCTTCTCCCCGGACAGGCCGAGCCCCCGCTTCTCCCCGGACAGACTGAGCCCCCCTTCTCCCCGCAGCCCGGACAGGCCGAGCCCCGCGCCCACCTGGGCCACGAGGCGCTGGTTCTCGCTGAGCCAGGTCTCCCGCATGGCGGCCTTGCGGTCGAAGCGGGCGGCCAGCTGCTCCAGCTTCTCCTGGCGGATCAGCTCGGTGCGCAGGGCCAGCTCCCGCTCGTGCTCGGCCTTCTCCAGCCGCTCCCAGGCCTGCGGGGGCGCGGGTCAGTGCTGGGGGCCGCGGCTCGGAACGGGGGTCCCTGGGGCTGGGCACAGGGCGAGGCCAGGAAGCTCGGTCCGGCATCGGTGGAATGCGGTCAGTTAGAGCCGGGGCGCCGCAGGAGGAGGGGGCCGCGGGGAACCAGGCTGCTCCGGGCGGCGACCGAGGGGACCGGGAACAGTGGAAGCCACGGGATGTGTGTGTGTGTGTGGGGGGGGGCAGGGGGAGACCCCTATTTCTTTTATTAGCCCTCGGGCTGACCGAGAGACTAGGCATGGCTTTATGATGTGAACGCACAGGAGAGGCAGAGGGGGGGGGGTGCAGGAGGCAGGAGAGAACCTGTGAGTCACACTCCGCACCCGTAGGGCGCGGGCAGCGGGCAGCAGGGCGGCGCCCGGCGTGGGCTGCCCCTCTGGGGGGGAAGGGAGGCCGTGCACCTTGTTGATGTCCGAGATGAGCCGGCCCTCGCGGGGCGTGTACACCTTCTGGTTGTTGGCCCGCAGCTTGCTCTGGACGGTGAAGAGCAGCACTTCCAGGTTCCCTTTCTCTGTGAACCTGGGCGGGAGGCCAGGCGGGGTCAGAGTCAAAGGTCACGGGGCCGGGAGCGGGGGTGGGGAAACACAGGGACTCCACGTTTTACACTGACGTGTCCTGTGCTGCTTTTCTTCTCATGAAAGCCAGAGAATGCTGGCGCATCAAAGGACAGCGATTTAAGAACACCCGACCACCACCCAGACACGGCCCGTTCCCTGCCGGCCGCACTGGATGCGTCTTCGCTTGACGCAGAAGGGCTCGGATCACGGCTGCGGCTGACACGTGTCCAGGACTCTCTCCCTGCGGGGCAGGCCTTGTTCCAAGGACTCCACACACAGTGCTCAGTTCTCCCTGCTACACCCTCCCATGACCCCCATTTTCCAGATGAGAAAACTGAGGCACAGAGAGGGCAGCAACTCACAACCAGTAAGTGGAAGAGCCAGGATTTGAACTCGGGCACTTTGAACCTAGACCCTTAGCCCTTTGCTCGCTGTGGCCCACAAATAACCGTTTTGTGAACTGTCATGAGCATCTTTTCAGCCAATCGACACATTTCTTCAACATCATTGTCAGCGGCGGTGACTAATTTTTCTTTTACAAAGGTCGTGCTGGTGAACACCCTTGGAGCTACATCTTTGTTCAGTGCCCAGAAGAGGGTTCTCTGGGCCAAATCATTCCCTGGAATGTATGGGAATAGATGCTTCTCTGGATTAATTCTGGCTTTGCAGCTGAAGCATACTAACTCCAAAAAAGCTCCAAAAAATTAGAAAACAGACATTTTTAGCATATACTGTATAGAACTGCCTAACAGCAGTTCCAGCCATATAAAGAGTTAATTTCTAAGATATATAGGGTGGCCCTAGCCAGGTTGGTTCAGTGGATAGAGTGTCGACCTGTGGACTGAAAAGGTCCCAGGTTCGATCCCGGTCAAGGGGATGTACCTTGGCTGCAAGAGGCAGCTGATCGATGATTCTCTCATCGATGTTTCTAACTCTCTATCCCTCTCTCTTCCTCTCTGTGAAAAGTCAATAAAATATGTTTTAAAAAAATCATTTAAGGACTTATTTGGGAACCGCCTCTAGGGCTTTGAGCCGAGGGAGAGCAGCCCCCTGGCAACTAGGCGCTGCCAGGCTTCCCTCCCGAAGGGCCGCCTGACCAGCTCCTCTCGGCGAGCAGGGCGCGGGCACTCACTTGGGCGGCTTCTCCACGGTGCGGTAGGAGTTGAAGGCCTGCAGCTGGTTCTGGACGCCGCTCAGCGAGTTGGCCAGCTGCCGGTCGTTGAGGGTCACGATCGTCTGCTCGATCCACTGCAGCAGCTCGGAGGCCAGGGACTCGTACTTCTCCACCAGGCGCTCGGCCTCCATGGCGTGGTCCAGCACCTGCCGGACAGCGACGTGGGGTCCCGCCCGCGGGCCCTGGCCCGGCCCCGCAGCCCCGCCCGCCCCCGCCGGAGCGGGGTGAGGCCCCAGGCGGGCCTTCTCCGCCCCCACACCTCCCTCCCCGCGGTGGACGCTACCTTCCCGATTCTTTTGCCTTCCACCGCCAGGGCCTTCATCTTGGAGAAGTAGTGGTAGTACGTGGCCACGTAGGTGATGATGGACTTCTCATCCGGCTGGTCCACATTCACATCTGGGGGAAGAGAGCACTCGGGTCAGGATTCCAGAAGGATCCCTGCCACCTGAACCTCTTACGTAAGGTGACCAGACGTCCCGATTTCTAACCATTTGTCCTGCGGAGAATCAGGACATTTTTTTTTTTAATATATTTTATTGATTTTGTACAGAGAGGAAGGGAGAGAGATAGAGAGCTAGAAACATCGATGAGAGAGAATCATCGACCAGCTGCCTCCTGCACACCCCCTACTGGGGATGTGCCCACAACCAATGTACATGCCCTTGACCGGAATCGAACCCGGGACCTTTCAGTCCGCAGACCAACGCTCTATCCACTGAGCCAAACCGGTTTCAGCGGAAAATCAGAACTTTTTTAAAAACGCCGTGGGACGTGGGACAAATGGTTAGAAATTGGGACGCCTGGTTACCTTACTTTTTTTTTTTTTTTTTTTAATATATTTTGTTGATTTTTTTTTTTTTTTTTTTTTTTACAGAGAGGGATAGAGAGTTAGAAACATTGATGAGAGAGAATCATCGGTCAGCTGCCTCTTGCACACCCCCTACTGGGGATGTGCCCGCAACCAAGGTACATGCCCTTGACTGGAATCGAACCCAGGACCATTCAGTCCGCAGCTCTATCCACTGAGCCCAGCTCTGGAGTTGGTGAGCGACCAGGCCTGCAGGGGAGGGCAGTGGGGGGCGAGTAGGCCTGCAGGGGAGGGCAGTGGGGGGCGAGCAGGCCTGCAGGGGAGGGCAGTTGGGGGCGACCAGGCCTGCAGGGGAGGACAGTAGGGGACGACCAGGCCTGCAGGGGAGGGCAGTTGGGGGCAGCCAGGCCTGCAGGGGAGGGCAGTTGGGGGCGGCCAGGCCTGCAGGGGAGGGCAGTTGGGGGCGGCCAGGCCTGCAGGGGAGGGCAGTTGGGGGAAACCCAGGCTGCCTGACTGAATCTCAGCTCCACCGGCCAGCTGACCTCACAGGCCCCGGCTCCTCTTCCACCAGCCGAGGGCGGCAATGACATTGAGGTCAGAGGGCGTGCTGTGCGGGTCACGTCAATGAAAGTATGCCAAGGGCGGTGCCAGGTACAGAACAAGAGCCCAGTGGCCATTCCCGGTCTCATCAGCATTAAGATCGGAACCACAGGGGCCCATCAGCAGCGTCCGCTGACCGTAAGCCCAGCGCCGGCCGAGCCCTCCAGGTCACGCAGCGTTACTTAGAACCCTACGGTTTGGGAACAGGAAGGGCCCTGACGGACCCCCTGGACCACCTTCTCGCTTTGAAGACGAGGAAACTGAGCCGCTGAGCCAGGTGACCGGCCCCGGGCCACAGAGCGGCCCCGTGGCGGGGCTGGGACTAGCCTGGTGCCTCCGCTATTTCTGGCCCCGACTGCCTTTCTCCCCGCAGCCTCACGTGTTTAAAACCGGGGCGCAGCTTTGCACCGAGGCATTCACCCCGGCAGAGTGTGCTCCTCAGGGGCGGTGGTTAGCACGTGCAGCCGTCGCCACCGGCTAATTCCAGAAACCTCCATTGCTCCCCGGAGAGGCCCCGTCTGCTCGGGGGCTCGGCACCGTGCGCCCACGGCTCTGCCCACCTTCGGGGTCCAGCAGCTTGGTCAGCCCCAGCTCCTTCTCGGCCAGGTTGAAGGCGTTCTGCAGGTTGTAGTGCGCGTTACACTTCTTCAGGGACTCGAAGTCCAGCAGGTCCGGCCTGGGACGGGAGGATTATCAGAAATGTCACAAACGCAGAAGGTCCTAAAGAGGAAACGCAACGCCGCCCCTTTCTCTATCCTAAGTCGCTGCGTCCACTGTGTCCAGAGCCAGGCACCCCAGACCCACGCTCCCGGCGCCCACGCCCCTCGCTCCCCTTCACAAGCCTTCTTTGCTGCACTGCGTCCCCAAATCCTGGCCCCTCTCCCAGCGCTCATTGCTCGCCAAGGCTGTGGAGCGCCATCGACGTGTGTGCTTGTCCCTGGGTCAGGGACCAGCCCCCAGCTGCTCTGACAGCCCCGCGGGCCCCTTCTCCTCACCGGTGCTTATGCACAATGGCGTTGAAGGCCAGCCCGTCTCTCCAGCTGGTGGTGAAGTTGTGCACGTTGACGTTGGGGTACCTATGAACAGAGGGGAAACGGGTCCAAGCCCTGGTCTGAGACGCAAGGCTCCTGGGCCCGCCCTGCCTGTAGGGCCCGGCCTCGCTGCCTCCCCGCCCGGGCACCTCACCCAGCTGTCTTCATCTGGCACCACAGCAGCAGGGCGTCCTTGGCTGACTTCTTCTCCTTGTTGTCTTCTGTTTCCACGCTGATGTCTTGGATCTAAGAGGGAAGGAAGGGAGGCCTGACTCCCCGGACAGGGGCTCCCGGACTTATCAGAGAGGCTCCAAGGGAGGCGGCAGAAACTGCTCTCTAGACCCTGTCCTTGGGGTGCAGAGACGGAGCCTGGGGGCCTTTCCCCCTGGGCTAGTGGCCGCAGGGCCCGGGTCAAAGGGCTCTGCAGCGGCCGAGTGGGGTAGGAAGTCAGAGATGCTGGTTCCTGCAGGCGGGGGGACCTTCGGGCAGGCGAGTGAACACCTGCTGAGAGCTGGGGTTCGAGGTGAAGCGGACAGAGCCCTGCTCAGGGCTGGAAGGGGCACAGGAGGCCACACCCGGGGAGGCCAGGAGGGAGTGGTGGCACCGGACACGGGACGGGCTCTGCTCGGAGCAGAGGGCTTGGGGGGGGGGGGAGCCTGGGAGGTAAGCAGAGGCAGAGGCAGCGGCACGGGGAGTGACCACACTCAAGACGTGGTTCCCAAACCCTCTGCGGTGAAGAGCCAGTTTGTAAAACTTCCGGTCCCTCGTGGACCAACATGAGGTCCTACTGCCCAGGCCAGGACAGAGACCAGGCCGCAGGGACCTGGCCACCCCAGTCTCCGCCCTGGTTAGTGAGGAGCGCCCCCTGATGGCCACACCGGGTCCCACCCCCTCCGCTGTCCACGGATCACGCCCGGGACGGGCAGGGGCCGCTCCGGGTGCAAGGCGCCCGGGCACCTGGAACCGAAGGATGATGGTCCAGACCAGCCCCAGCGTCAGGCGGTGGTTCCCGTCCACGATGTCGTGGGAGCCCATGTTCTCCAGGTGCACCTTCTGCTCCTTCAGGAACTGCAGCGCCTTGTCCACGTTCTCCAGGCAGTGGATCCTCATGCGGCCCTTAGTGGGCTTTGGCTGCGGAGGGGCCGGGGACACAACGGCTCGGACCGTGGGCCTCCTGCTCCTCCTCTCCCGCCTCCCCGGGGGCCCTGCTGTGCCCACCTTCCCCCAGGACCTCCCTCAGGAGCACGGGGGCAGCCTCGGGCCTGGGCCCAAGTTCACGGAGCCAAAGCCGAGGCTGCAGAGGCGGCGGCTTGGGCCAGATTAAGATTCCCGGGGGAATTAACTGCGCGCAGAGTGGGTGGGAAAAGAAATGTTTTCAATGGGGCCACTGTTCCCGTCTCCGTGGAGCAATGCTCCCGGGTAATCCACGCGGCGAAGCCTCGGCGTGAACCCGGGCCCCGTGCCGGGCGGGGGGCTGCTCTCCGCCGCCTCGGGGGTCACCCTCCTGTCCAGGGGAGCCCCCTGCGCCTCCGTCTCCCAGGCCCCTCCTCCCGGGGACCGCCGCTCACCAGTGTCTCCCCCGACAGCACCTCCAGGAGCCTGAGGAGGTGGCGTCCATCGCGCAGGTCGCTGTACAGGTCGCCCACGCGGCACGCGACCCGGGCCAGGTGCGAGTTCACCCACTTGGTGAAGGTTTTTTTCTGCACGGCTTCCCGCTCGTCTGCGGGGGCAGCAGGGGGTCAGGGCTGCGCCTCACACAGTGTTTCCAGCCGCCAGCAGGTGGGGTGGTGGGGTCGTGGGGTGAGAGGCGGGACTCGAGGTCGGGGGACGGGGCGGAGGGAAGGAAGGCGGGAGGGGGGGGGGAGGAAAATAACCGGAAAAGCAGGGAAATGGAGAAATTGGAATGAGCTCCATCCAGCAAGCAAAAGGACAAGAACGAGAGCCAGACGCACGCTGTGAGAAGGAAGGATGAGGAAGGGGAAGCTGGGAAACAGGAGGGAAGGGCTGGGACCCGGGGTCGGGGCGCGGCCAGGTAACAGGGGTGCGGCTGGTCCTTCCTCTCCCGGAGCCTCACTCTCCCCATCTATTAAACGGGTATCGCACTTCCTGCGTCAGCAGGTCCCTGTGCTGGTGAACGGACCAGGTGTGCGAGGTGCCCGGTGAGTCTGCTCCGCAGGCGCCAGCCAAGGCCAAGGGCGGCGCTCGGCGGCAGGCCCTGGGGCTGCTCTCTCCGGGCGGCGGGCGGAGGGGAGGGTGCGGAGATAACGTACAGCAGCGGCTCTTGCAAGTGGCCGCTAGAACAAGGTGACCAGACGTCCCGCTTTTGGCGGGACAGTCCCGATTTCCAACAATTTTCCCCGCGTCCCTCGGCGTTTTAAAAAAGTCCCGGAGCCGGTTTGGCTCAGCGGTAGAGCGTCGGTCTGCAGACTGAAAGGCCCCGGGTTCGATTCCGGTGAGGGGCATGTACATTGGTTGCAGGCACATCCCCGGTCGGGGGTGTGTAAGAGGCAGCTGGCTGATATTTCTCTCTCATCGACGTTTCTAGCTCTCTATCTCTCTCCCTTCCTCTCTGTTAAAAAGCAATAAAATATATTAAAAAAAAAAAAAAAAAAGTCCCGGTGTTTGGAAAGATTGGAAAGATTCTTTCCAAAGATCGGGACTTTGTTTTAAAAACGCCGCAGGACACGGGAAAATTGTTGAGATTCGGAACTGTCCCGCCAAAAGCGGGATGTCTGGTCACCTTGGACCAGGAGGGTGTGCCAGGACAGACTGCAGGCTGCCGGGGCCAGCTGGCTCTCCTGGTGTCCCCGAGGTGGGCTCCTTCAGAGGGCTGCAGGGATGGGTCCCAGGACACCCACCTCCCAACACCCAGGAGAGAAAGCAGACCTAGAGGCGGGGGCCAGGGAAGAGCGAGCCACAGAAACACGGGTGCGCGTGGGGCGGAGCCGGGCAGAGGCAAGTGCCATAATCTCAAAAAGGGAGGACACGTCCTGCGGCCTGGTCCACGGGGAGGGCGCTGCGAGGGATGCTCCGGCTCCAGCAGCAAAGGAAACTAAAAACGCCGCCAGGAGGGACGCGCAGGCCCCTGCACGCGCCCAGTCACTGAGGTTCTGTCCGTCCGGAGCCCCGTGCGAGGACCCAGCCCCGGCCGCCCGGACCTGCAGAGCCACTTTCGCTTCCCTCTCAGCACCAGCATCTCAGGAGCCGGGAGGACTCATCCCTTAATCTCACATTCCTCCGCACCTCACCCACAAAGCGCACACACGCCCGTGTCTGGTCCTGTCTCTCCTGCCTCCAGCCCTGCGCCTGGGCCGGCCTGGGTGCTAGCAGCGGCCGGGCTTCCTCTCAGGGTCTGCCGACTGAGCCAGGGGTGTCCAGAACCCCCTGCCTCTCCCGGGTCCCCGGGGTGTCCCCGCCAGGCACCCCGGGGTGTCCCCGCCAGGCACCCCGGGGGAGGCCAGGCACCCCGGGGGGAGGCCAGGCACCCCGGGGCGAGGCCGTTTCGGCCCACGGACAGGATGACGGGGAAGACGCGGGGATGGGAGAGCAATGTGCACAGATGTCACTTCACCAGGCGTCCGCGGCGTCCACAGACACCCCCAGCCACACGCGGCGGCTTCCAGAAACGCACGGAAACTCGGTGCCAGACGGCCCCGCGCCTGCTCAGACTCATACCGGAGCCTGCCCGCACCAGCTCCCTTTGACACGCTGCCCAGCTCCCACACAGGCTCAGGCCCCCTCAGAACGCGGGCAACGCCAGCAAGCCTGTTCCCAGGCCTCCGGGCTCCCTGCCCTCTCCTCCCCAGACACCCCGCAGGCCCTCGCTGCCAGTGAGCGTCTCAGCGGGACCTCGGGAAGGCCTCCTGCTTGCAGACCCGGCGCTGCCAGCTCAGCCCGCCGGCCGCCTCCGTGGTCACTGCATTCCCCGGGGGACCTCGCGGTCACACCCACTCCCGCGCACACAGGCCCTTCCGGCGGGTGGGTCGCAGCCTCCCCCTGCTGTCGGCATCCGCGGATTTCCTGGCCACTTGTAATGACTCCCCTGGCACACCGGCTCCCCGCACCAACGCCTGAGGCACAGCCAGCGTGCCACCCGCGTTCTCCGCGCTGGCTCCCCTCCCCGCGCCCGGGACCCCCTCCGCCCCTCTCCCCGGCCCGGCGCTCACCTTGCAGCTGTTTGAAGCGGCCGTCCAGCACACTGGCGTACTGAGCGGGGTTAATGAAGGCAGCCGGCGAGAGCAGGAGGCCCCCGGGGTTCTGGGACCCCTCCACCGCCTCGTAGTAAAGCTCCCCAGCCCCGTTCAGGCTGTGCCCCGGCCCCCTGCTCACGCCGTTCCCGTTCATGGTGCCCGCTGCCTCCTACACAGCTGGGCGCCCAGCGTCCATGCCCTGCCCGCACGGGGGTGGGGGAGCAGGGTCAGCCTCCCGGGAGCCTGGGATCCCAGAGGCTGGGGCCTGGGTGGTGGTGAAGGGGGGTGGTCCAACGATGGCAGAAGTTCAAGGCGTTAGAAAAAGGAGTTACAGGATGTCTGGGTCCCCCAACGCCCAGACAAGCAGCAGGGCACACCTGGCTGTGCGAGAGGAGACAGAGGCGGCTCCAGACAAACAGGTTGGACAGTGCCGGGGGAGGGGTGGAGGCGGAGCCGCCGGCTGGGGCAGGGCCAGGCCCTGTGGGGCGAAGGCGGGAACTGCAGGCCTCTGAGACCTGCCCGTCAGGCCTCTGAGGCCGGAAAAGCCAGGAAAGGATTCCCCCACAGTGAGTCCTGCTTCCCAAAGGGGTTCAGCCCTGGGAGGTCCCCCTGCAGGACTTGGGCATTTAAAAAATATATATTTTATTGATTTTTTTACAGAGAGGAAGGGAGAGGGATAGAGAGCTAGAAACATCCATCAGCTGCCTCCTGCACACCCCCCACTGGGGATGTGCCCACAACCAAGGTACATGCCCTTGATGGGAATCGAACCTGGGACCCTTCAGTCCACAGGCCGATGCTCTATCCACTGAGCCAAACCGGTTAGGGCAGGACATGGGCTTTGATCCCCAGCTCAGAGAGCAGAGAAAGAGAAATTCCTTACGCTCCTGTATCTGTGAAATCCCTGTTCTTCTCCCACTTGTCATCATCGCCTCCAGTCCCACCCCTTTCCCGGCACTGGGCCCCAAGGGCCCCCGCCAGGCCAGCCCAGGCCCCCAGGACTCCCACCGCGGAGCTGAGCGATCTGCCAGACTCCCTTCCCACCCGGCTCAGGCCCCCCCTCGCCTCTCCCCTCCGCATCCATTCAGCATCTGTCTGGCCCTACTAACGCCAGGTGCAGTGCAAAGCAGAGCTCATAGGAGAGGCCTCTTCAGAGGGCCAGGGGCAGCGTGGGCGCACAGACATCGCACGGGTCCTGGGAGCGCCTGGCGTGCGCTCAGACCTCAGGACAGCTCCGGAGGCCGCGTGCAGCCAGAGCCGGGACGCCAGGCAAACTTTCCCCCGGACCCCGAGTCTCTGTCTTCTCCCACCCACAGGGATGGGCGTTCCCCAGCCTGAAGACCCAACGCGGACAGAGAAGCCTACGAGGATAAGGGGTCCCCAGGAGCTGTGCCACCCGTGGGGGCCTCACCCGGTGCTGAAAGAATTGCCCGAGAGTTAAAAACCCGGGACCTGGACCGTAGGTCTGAGGATTTTAACCCAAGCGCCCAGGAAGGGAACTGGCAATCGAGCTTGTAAAAACGGCCCCCGTGGATTCTGTGAGAACGTGGCCGGGTTTGGGAACCACCCCCCGACCGTGTCTCCCTTCTCCCAGGAAGCCACCCGGCGTGGCACCACTGCACTTGGTGGGGAGGCCAGTCAGCCAGTGGGAACGGCACGGCGGGGGGGGGGGGGAGGATGGAGGAGGGCAGCCTGCTGGGGTGGGTAGTCTCGGGGTGTGTGGGTGACTCAGCCCCACGCGGGCCAGACCATCCGCTAGGGGTGTCAGGTGGCAGCCGCACTCTTGTCGCCATGACAACTCCTCCCAGGGAACGCAGGGAGGCCCGTCCAACGGGTTTGTTTGAGTTTGGAGGAGCCGAAGGGGAAAGCCCAGGCCGGAGGGGAGGGCAGGGGCCAGGCAGAGAGCAAACCCGGGGAGGGGAGAGGACACCTGCTCCAGGGAAGAGGGAGGTGGAACAATGGAGGAACAGGCGGCAGGTGGAGGGAGCAGGTGAGGAGGGAGAGGGGAGGATAATGGGCGGGTGGGTGTGGCGGGGAGAGAACAGGTGTGAGAGGTGACAGTGGGAATCAGTGAGGACACAAGGAGACGAAAGGTGAAGGAGAGGTGGGTGGAAGCCAACAGCAAGACTAAGTGCAACAGAACGGAGGCCATGACTCGGGGACAGAGGCCAAGAAGTCAGCGGAGTGAGGAGGGGAACACAGCTCAGTCCCAGAGTCAGCGGGCCCTCCCTCCGCTGGGGCCGGGGGAGCTGGGGCGTGTTCTGGGTTGCGTGGCGTTGGTTCTGAAGGCCGGAGTTGGGGACCAGGGTCTTGACAGGGCGATCTGGATTGGCCACGTCCGTCAGCAGCTGAGGAAGGCTGGCCTCCCCGTGACAAGCTCCCGTCCCCAGCATTCTCAGCATCTCCCCGGGCCTCCCCTCATCTCACCTGCCAGGGCCTTGATCCGGGACCTCTCAAAGAGGCGGGCGGAGCTGCTGTCATTGTCCCAGTCCGAGTCGGGCAGGTCCCAGCGGTTGTTGATGTCGCTGTACTGGCCCTGGATCTCCAAGCTGTCGAAGTCTGTGGGTGACAGGGTGCTGCTCATGGCGGCGGGGGGGGGGTCTCCTGCTCCTGCAAGGGGGGATATGGCTGATGGGGGGCATCGTGGGGCCACCGAGCCCACCACGCACCACGTGCTTCCCTCCTCCTGCCCAAGATCCGCTCGCTCTCCCGATGGCCAGCGACGGTGGTGGCTGGTCTTTCTGTCCGTGGAATTGAGCCCCCGGTGTAGAGGGCACACCCTCCTGGTGGGGGCCAGGGTGCAGTGGAACGAGGCAGGAAGGCAGCAGTGGCTCAGAGCGAAGCAGTGGGCGGGGAGGGCTCCAGGGCCTCGGGCCCCGGAGGGACCATGGACAGAGCTGGGGCTGAACGTGGCGATGCCGTCAGCCTGGTTCGGGAGGGCAGTGCGTGCACCAGGGTAACTGCAGGACGCAGTTGGGGGCCCCTGGAGCCATAGTGAGCACAGACCAGGAGGCCTCACAATTTGCTCCTCTACATAAGACTGCCTCCTAGGCCCTGCAGGCGGTTCGAGATGGAAAGACGGAGACCCTGCTCTCGAGCTGAGACGCATCTCTGAGGCACCAGGAAGAGGGACGCCCTGATGGTGCCCAGGAGTTCAGAGGAGGACGCAGTACGATTCTCTCCCCTTCCCCTCCCCCCTTTTTTTCCTAAAAATTTTGCGACAGGGAATACGTACTAGGTGCTTGGTAAATGCCAGCTGTGACACATGCATCACCCCATCAGAACCCATGGGTCCATTATCAGCCCCGTTTCTCAGATGAAGAAGTTGCACCGTGAACGTTGAGTCACGGTTCCAGGTCACACAGCTGGAAGGGGCAGAGCTGGGTTTTGAAGCTGAATTTCTCTAGTGACCTTGGAGGACAAGCTCGTAATCACAACGTTCACATGTTGTAAGCTCCCGGGGGCTCTTATTCCTCGTTCCCTTCCAGGGCCCGGGCTGGGAGATCAGGACCAGCGTGCTTGCCAGGGCAACTTACAACGCTACGTTACGCAAACTCTGTCCTTCTCAAAACCAACCAATGAGCTTCAGGTTAGCTTCTAGGGAATTTAAAAAAACATCTACCGTCCAAAGTTCCCATGTAACTCAGCATTCAGCGGCCATCCAAGGCAATGGAGGGGCTGGCTGGATCTGGAACTGTATCAGAACCCCAAATTCTGCATTACTCACTGTCCTAGTACCTCTCAAATACAAAGATACATGCTAGTCCTTAGTAGCCCTTCCTAGGGTCAGGGCTGTGATCTTGGCAGTTTCTGGTTCTGGAGAGGAGGTACAGTGTGTGTGTGTGTGTGTGTGTGTGTGTGTGTGTGTGTGTGTGTTTGTTTCTTGTGTGGTTTGGGGAGGAAGAAGGCGTGGGCGGTGAGATGTGAGTGGGTAGGGAGGTGTGTTCCCATGGGCACACAGAGGCAGAACTTGGCTTCTGTCGTTAACTGGTTCCCTGAAGCTGAACCTGACCCACGTGAAGGTCAGCACTGTCTGCCCCGCCCGTTTCTCCCAAAGAGAAAGCGCGCACAGGACTTCCCTGGGAGTAGACCTGATGAGGAGAGAGGAGCTAAGGTCTGGGTTCCTAGACTTGGGTTTTCATTCCTCTAACAGAAGCTTCATTTCACTAGGCCTCCTCTCTCATTTTAAGTCCACCGTTTCCCTACCAGACTCTTCTGAATTTGCTCTGTAAATATTTATATAAAAATAAACTCCAGGTCAGAGTTGAGTCACCCTGAGCAAAGAGTGGCGTGGGCCAGGCATGACCCGAGCTCGTCACCTCTACAGCCCGGGACCTTTTCGATTCCGTTCTTCTCAGCCCTTCCCCAGCGGCCACGCGCACGCTTAGCTTTGGGATGGACACTCTCCCTGCACACACCTCCCCTCGAAAACTCCTCCATGCATGCCCCCTGGTCTTCTGTTTCCCTGCCCCTTTTCCTTAGATCAGGCCTCACAAACGCATTAAAGCCAGTCCCCCAGCGAGTGGCCAGCAGACTGATTCATAAACAACTGATTTGGATTCCCCCAGGTGGGCCTGCGTTTCCATCTCTCTCTAGGCCCCACCATGGGCTAGAGAGGACTCCTTCCCGGTGGGGCCTAGAGTCTCCTTCCCGGCCGCACCGTGTTTTTATTACCTGCCTGCCCTGAAGGCCTGAGAGGACTCCAAACCCTGCTCCACGCCTTTGTGCCCCACAAAGAGCAGAGATGTAAACAAGTGGACTGCCTGGCCTGGCCTCCAAGCTGCTGTGTGTCCCTGGGCCACCCCTAAGCTGGCAAGAACCTCAAGGTGCACTGCTTTGGCTCCCTTTTGGGGATCCAACATGGTCCGCCCAAGGAATCCTATTGGGGCCCAGCCTTCAAAGGATCCAGACTTCCCAGCAAGGGCTGGCTGTTATAGTCTCTATGTGGAATCTTTATTTTTCTTTTAAAAAATATATGTTATTGATTTTTTTTACAGAGAAGAAGGGAGAGGGATAGAGAGCCAGGAACATCGATGAGAAATATCGATCAGCTGCTTCCTGCACACCTCCCTCTGGGGATGTGCTTGCAACCAAGGTATTTACATAACCTCAACTGGAATCGAACCCAGGACCCTCCCAGTCTGCAGGCCAACACTCTATCCACTGAGCCAAACCGGTCAGGGCTATGTGGAATCTTATTATTTGGGAGAAAGAATGGAGTTGGAACCTCCCCTTTTTCCAAATAAAAATTCAGCCACTTGAGTGGGCCTTTAGCCAAATCAAGTTTTGACATACATGTCTTGTGTCCTAAGTTTCTGGAGATGTTGCCATATAGAAAAGGAGCAGAGCCCGGCTGGTGTGGCTCAGTGGTTGAACCAGGAGGTCATAGTTCGAGTCCTGATCAGGGCACATGTTCGGGTTGAGGGCTTGATCCCCAGTAGGGGGCGAGCAGGAGGCAGAAGACCAATATCCTCTTTCATCCCTCTATCCGTCTCTTCCTCTCTCTGAAATCAATAAAAACACACTTAAAAAAACAAACAAAACAACAACAACAACACAACGGAAGAAAGGAAAAGGAACCGAGATGGCACTGGTGTCTGTAGGTCACAGCTCCTCCTCAGGCCCCCATGCTGGCTCTCCAAGGAGTTGATCCCGTAGACTGGCACGTGAAAACACTGCTCTCTGCTGGTTCCGAGGCCCTGTCTCCCTGTTTCTGAGTTCGGGTTTTCGAGCATTTGGGCTGTGCAGTCCCTGGACTCGGGGAGAATGTGCTGTGTTCCCGCTGCCATCTCCGAGCCCCACAGCTTTCTATTCGAGCGTGTTCTACACAGGTCCTGCTCTGGTTCCTTCTCACTGAGCGCATCATTGCCTGCCTACGATCTGGTTCCCCGGGCTCACCTTTCCTCAGTCTGCCTGCCCCCCAGGCCCCCCACCGCCCAGGACCCCCCGTCTGTCTCTGCACCGGAGACTGGTCCACCTTCTCCTCCACCGTGGGTTCCTGAACGCGGGCGAGAGGGTGGCACGGCGGCTAACCCCGCTTACGGGGCACCGGCACTTTATTCTTAGCCACTGACCTCGAGGCCGGACCCAAGTAGCTTACATCGTTCCTGCTGCAGCAAAGCCAACTTCTGCCGGCTGCAAGCTGGGCCCTGCTACATCCCCGAAGCCTCCGGACTGCTCAGCCGTGCATCCTCACGGCAGCTGCTCCCCCCGCCCCCCCTCGTCCCCCCTCTCCCCCTTTCTCCCTGTTAGCTGGCGTTCTAAGCCAGAAAACCTATCCCTGGGGCTAGAGCCTGTCTCGTTCCCTAATTCCTCCTCTCACCACATCCTCCTCCTGATTAATTCTTTACCTCCCGGAGCTGATCACGCCCGCTCTGTGCTCCGGCGGCACCTCAGCTGGCTGCTGTGATGGCACCGATCACGTTGTGTTACAGTTAGTTGTTTATGTGTCTCTCTCCTGCTCCACTTCTAACACAGCGAGGACAGGGGCTGTGTTCTCCACGCCCAGTACAATAGATTGTTAATAAAGACAGATCGAATTGAATAGGCCATCATTTTTTTTTTTTTTTTTTTTTTTGCCTTTGTATTAATGTCTTTCTTAAAGCTACAGACAAGCCAAAGGGAAGAATGAGAAGGGGCGAGAGAAGCCCTCTGTGGAGGCTTGAACTCTATTGTCCAGGACCACGGAGGCTCAAACGGGCATGAATCACACCTGGAGGCGGCCGGGGGAGGCGGGCATGGAAACAGATCACTGGGCCTGCCCCTGGAATCTCGGATATTCGTAGGCCTGGGGTGGGGCTTGGCAATATGCATTTCTGCCCTGTTCCCAGGTGACATGAAGGCTACGGTCTGGGGACCGCACACGGAGGGCCATGCTGTCCAAAGACAAGGAGCAGCCAGGGTTGGTGAGAGGAGCCACGAGGGCTGAGGAGACACAGCGCCCAGGGGTCCGTGTGCCCTGAGGTCAGCGTCCCATGCTCAACCCAAATATAGCTCCCCCCTCAGGGAGCCCGGAGCCTCGGGCATCGGGAGGAAAATGAAGACGGATGGAGCTCGGGAGCTAACGAGACAAATTGAGCTGATGTCCCGACACGGGCGAGTCACAGATGTGAGGGGAGGCTGTGGCCTTGCCGCTGAGGGGAGGGAGGGGAGCGGGACACATGACAGCCGGATGAATAATAGATGGAAGCGATGGGGACTTTGGCAAAGTACAAATCTCATCTGACTCAGAGTCGGAGAGGAGCGGCACAGAGCGAACAGGAAAGGGCCTCCCCGGTGCACCGGGGCTCCTGGAAGAGCAGAAGGAAGAGGTGCTAGGGGCAGGGGACGGTCTGGGGGGCAAACCTAGAACCCCATGTGACACCCCAGGCCGGTTCCTCACGAAGCAAGCAGAGGAACTCGGCTCGGGGCGAAGAGAGGGGCTGCATTGCTGTGTGATCTCCTTTAGGACCCTCTGCTGGGGCAGAGCTATTCAGACGAATTTTCTCGCCCTTTGCTCCTGCCTCCCCCCAGCTTGCCACCCGCGGGTTTCCCCAGTCTCTCTGAGGGACAAGCCTCAGACTCACGGTAGCTTTTCCCTCCCTC